AAATCGGTTTGCGAAAAGCTTTAACTTTTTTTGAAGCCAGCTATGAAACTTTGAAATAATTTAAATTACTTTGCGGACCAAATCGGTTCGCGAAAAGTTTGTTTTTCTAGCTTACAAAATTACGAATTTTTGAATTATTACAAAATTTTTCACAGACTGAAAACGATCGCGAAAAGCTTAAGTTTTTCTTACTTTCTTAGCAAGCTTTTGAACTTACAAAAATTTGAATTATTACAAGTTATTTCTAGAATGAATCGGTTTGTGAAAAAGTTGTTTTTCTAAGAAATCTTTCAAAATTACGAATTTTTGAATTATTATAAGTTTTTTCACAGAGTGAATAGGATCGCGAAAGGCTTAAGTTTTTCTTACTTTTTAGCAAGCTTTTAAACTTACGAAAATTTGAATTATTACAAGTTATTTCTAGAATGAATCGGTTTGTGAAAAGTTTGTTTTTCTAAGAAAGCTTCGTAATATTTCGTAAAACTTCAAGTTATTTTTTGGAACGAATCGGATCGCAAAAAACTTCAAATTTTCTAAGCAAGCTGTTCAATATATGTAACTATGAACAATTGCATGTTATTATGTGGACTAAACCGGTTCGCGTAAAATTTGAAGTTTTTCTAAGCAAGCTTTTAAAACTGAAATTTTGAAATATTTCAAGAAAATTCTTAGACCGAATCAGTTCGCAAAATTTTAGTTTTTTCTAAGCAACCTTTTGAAGCTTTGAAACTTTGAACGTTATCAAGTTATTTCATAGACGGAATCGGTTTGTGATAGGTTTGTTTTTCTTAGCAAGCTTTAAAAATTATGAATTTTTCAATTATTACAAGTTATTTCACAAACTAAATCGGTTTGCAAAAAACCTTTAATTTTTTTCAAGCAAGCTATGAAACTTTGAAATAAGTAAGTTACTTTGAGGACCAAATCGGTTCGCGAAAAGTTTGTTTTTCTAGCTTACAAAATTACGAATTTTTGAATTATTACAAAATTTTTCACAGACTGAAAACGATCGCGAAAAGCTTAAGTTTTTCTTACTTTCTTAGCAAGCTTTTGAACTTACAAAAATTTGAATTATTACAAGTTATTTCTAGAATGAATCGGTTTGTGAAAAAGTTGTTTTTCGAAGCAAGCTATGAAACTCAAATTATTTAAGTTATTTCATAGACTGAATCGGTTCGCGAAAATTTTAAGTTGTTCTAAGCAAAGCCATTTCCATTTATTTCATATACCACATCGGTTCTCAAAAACATTCTGTTTTAGCATGTGGAGGTTACTGTTTTCAAATGATTCGTTCCCGGCTGAATTTTTGACAGTCCCAGTTCCAGGCAGAAATTAAATGAAATTTCGGACAAAATTAGGCAGGTACTGTCTAGCCTTGAAGTTGGATCGAGTTCATCTTCTTCTCCTGGTTGCTCTGAATGATTCTTAAACGTTACGCTCGATAGCCTCTTAAACATTGTCTCCTAGTATTTCTTAAGCATTGTGTTCAGTTAAACATTGCGTCCATAGCACATTCGGAGTTTCATTTAATATATAAGATTGAAAAATTCTAGCATGTTCTAGTTTCAGAATATTTTCCCCTTGTTTGAGCGTTGAACCCAATGCTAGTTCTTCTCAATTGCCTCAAAATGCAAAAACATGGCAATCATTTTATGTCATTCATTACTTTTAAAAATGATTTACTTATCTTATTTTAGAATTAACGAATGACAGAAAAATGAATGCCTAAGTAAACTAATTGGCACTTCTCGATCTGTTTCAACATTTTTCGGGCACTTTATTAATTTGCTTTATTTGCTCTAAATTATTTGTTGGTTCGATTGACATCGCCGAAGCAACGAAATGAATGATCTTAGGGCACCTTCTAGCTTGGGAATCTGTTGATATAACGAAACCATTCTTTCGCATACCTGCCTCCCCAACGCGGGTCATTATAACTTTTTGCGGGTGATATTATGGGAAAGAAATGATAAAACTTTCAAAAAAAATTAAATAACGGTTTCAAATTTTGAAAAAGCGTTAGTCATTTAAATCTTGAAACTTGAAAACGGTTCTCAAAACTTCCTGAAAATCCGCCCAAGCATTTGGCTGTGCTCTGAATACAGATCCTAAGCCGAAATGAAAACAGACTTCGGATTTGAAGCTTCTAAAACACTGGTCTGTTCGCTTACATTGTCTCTAACGATTTTCTAATAACAACAACAGAAGGGGGCTCCAAGCTGTCCATTCCGCCCTGCTCCCCACACTGCGCTACACTTATTTAAGTGTCCCCAAAACGGAATAAAATTCACCTCAATAGACTTCTGGCTTCGGCTGACGGAGGTCGCAACGTTCCTCGAACTCGGCGAGAGGATGACGGACGCGCCCCAAACAACGGGCTAATAACAACAACAACTACAACAACAACAACAACAACGGGGGACATATGTCAATATATATATATCAACAATTAATAATAAAATAAGTGATAAGAAACGAAATACAGACTATTTCACAAAAACAATTTATTTTAAACCAACATTCCAGATATCAAATTATACCACTGTACTATTTAACATGGGAACAAAGTCAGTGGATCTCTAAGCTTTAGTTTCAAAATTTTTCTTTTGGTTTTCCTCTGCTGTTTGTTAGATTTATGGGTTCTGAGTTTCGTGCATTGAGTGTCAAAATCGTTTGCTGTTTGTTTAGCCTCTGAGAATTGAATTGTCTGCCACGAGCAGCTGCGTAAGGGAACCCTTATAATAATTTGAGCAGCTACTGCGCTGGAGAATGTAAGAATTAGTGAAGCGGAAGCTTTGGTTGCTGGCCAATATTTTAAAACACGCGCCTCTTAAGTCCCCTCTTCCACTGTTGGGAACTCTTCGTAGATCAGTGAGTTGTGTATGGCAGTAAGTAGTCCACCTCCCTCTCGAGCGCGGTCCTTTCTGATAATAGTATGAATTGGGCCTAGCGAGGGAGTGCGGTTTTTTTTCAGTCAGTTTTGTCTCTTGAAAAACAGCGGTATGAATTTGAAATTCACACATTAGTACGGCTATTTCGGGTGCTTTTACTGATACTCCGTTACAGTTCAGTTAGAGAAAAATTGAACTTTTTGTAGATTGGGAATGGTTACATGGAGGGTTTGGTAAGGGCGGGAAATGGTAATAGTAGTATGCGCTGTATGCTTTTGAGGGTGTGTTTGGGTCATTCGGTGTCTTAGTTATTCGGGTAGCGAGGTTTGTAGTCTTAGTGTATTTCGGCCTTTTAGGCGTATCATTAAATGGGAGGGCCAGGATATTATTGTTTGCACAAATAGGGCAGTAGAAGTTTCTGTGGGGTTGTTTGAGGTTTGCGAGGCCACTATAATTTAGTGCGATCCATCAGCATATGTGACACCAAACAATTGTTTGAGTGCGGAAGATATTTGTGTTACAGGGTGGGCAGATACATGGGCCTGGGTTTGGGTTAATGCCGGCACGTAAAAGAAGAATAAGTATTAAAAAACGGAGCAGCCCAGTCGAATTTGGACGCTCCGCCACCAAAAACAGGGTCTGAGCACGCTTTCTGCGCTCCCAAACACGGGAGGGGGTTTCGGTGCCATTTGCTACGACTTGTCGCACGTCGGGTCCACCAGGAGAAGGCGGCACCGTTGGATCCAATTGTCCTCAGTGATTTTTTTTAATCATGGCGCCAATACGAATTAAAAACAAATTTAAGTTAAAACTTATATTAAACTGTAACTCGTTTTCAAATGATAATGGCGCCGTTTTAAAACAATGTAACGGGCACAATTATTGACAAATACTGTTATAGACATGGTGAGTAAGTTAAAAAGTTTGGCATGTGAATGAAAAAAACTCCTGCTAGTATAACATGACGGACCGTATCAGGGTGAGGCTAAAGATTCCGACTGCATTTTAAAGTCTATAGAGCAGTGTTCGCCAACAAAAACTAATGAAAAACAACAAAATTTTGAAACCACCGAACACCAGGTACACATAGATAGATTTCTTTCCGAGTAACGCAGCAATGCTGACAAATAGCCTGCTTCAACCAATATGTCACTTTTTCTCTGATGGATTAACTTTACGAAAAATTATCACAGGTAAAATATCTTTTTAAATTTCAACGTGAGGCATTAATAACTCTCGGATAATAAAAAAGTAGTACGACAACAAGAAAACCATCCTAAGCAAAAATACTCTGTCACTTTCTTCAAAAGTCGGAACAATAATTCGTACGAAAATGAACACGAAAAGGAGTCATGCAATAGGTTATGCAATTTTCCCAATTTTCCTCCAACTTCCCAGAAGTCAAAGAAGTGATGAAAATATAAGAGAGTTCACGTTTACTTTGCAGTTCATTTCCATTAGATCGTTACAATTATTAACGTGAATCTTTATAGACTCATTTAATTCAGTTTCATTTTCAATTATTGTCCCTTGTACGCCTAAGTATAAAGCGTATATATTAAACGTATTATAAGAAAACAAGACTTATCTGTGAGAAAAAAAAACGCATTTGGTATTAACTTATGATAAGATATGCTTTATGATGCAAGAAAAATTAGAAATTACCATAAATAGTCCTTTAATTAATTGCATACCAAGAATATTTTTTTTCAAATTAATAAATCTAGCAGACGGCCAACTAGATCTGCGAACTACTTGTAATGAAAACCGTAAAATTTACTGAACTCGGGGAGTAGGGGTTTTAATGTGGACAAACTCAGTGCCAGGATTGAAAACACTTAATTAAAATGTGATCAGATTCTCCCTCAATAGAAATCATTCCACACAAAAAATTCACAGAGCAACAATTACTCTTGACCTGTTTTTTTTTAATAATAGAAAACCAAATCTTATATTCAAATTTTTTTTCACAAAAATCAAGGGAGCAAGTTCGCTTTGAAATATGGACATAATTCTTCTAAACAATTCGTCTAGGCCAGATAATCTTTTAAACAATAACGAAAAAACTGTGTTGGCTTTTAAACGAAAGACGCAAAAACACACGACTGGTTGTTTACAATTACAATAGCATTGACGCAGAAGAGAAAGATTAACAATAACTATTATTCATTCTAACTCTTTTCGCTCGTTATAAAATTTTCAGTTGCTTCAAATTGAAAAAAAGTACGAAGCAAAAGCACTACTTTATATCAATTCCGAAAAATATCAAAATTGAAAAATCATAATGGCACAGCCTCCACCCTACAACCCAAGTAAGTTCAAACAATATAATTGATTTCATCCGGATACGCAAGGAACAAATTAAAAAAAAACACGTTTAGCACGAATTAAAAAACTCAACTCTGATGTGGTTTCGAATCTGATGACAAAAAGAAACGGTTGTTCATAAATAACTCACATCCGATAATCTAAGAGAAATTTTTTGTTAATAGACTCTTTGAAACTAATTATTCAACAAGATACGAACGGATTTCCATTTCAAGATAATTGCCTCCAACTGGATCCATAACAAGTTCTGGAATATTTTCAGACCACTAACGATATCTTTTTTCAGATCAATATGGACAGGCATCAGCACCTCCAGGCTTCGTCGCTCCCGGTGCTCCTCAATACCAATATGGTCAGCCGCAACCACCATATGGCCAGCCTCAACAATATGGCCAGCCTCAACAATATGGCCAGCCTCAAGCAACACAATATGGTCAGATCCAAGGTTTCGATTAATTTTTCATCAATGTATCATAGAGGCCTTTAACTAATAATTACCACTTATCTACGCGAGAATAAACAAACAAGCTTAACTCAACATACAACAAAATCCAAGCTATGTTCATTTAAAATATGGGCCGCGATATTTTGCTTCGCCTTCTAGCAACTAGCGAAGAAGTTCAATCAAGTTTTATCATTGAAAAAAACCGGTTCACTTGCAAGTAAAACAAAAAATTAATCGTTTTTGTCAATAAAAGATCAAAGTATCCGGAACAAAAAGGCCTGCACCATTAGAAACTCTAAAAAGAGCTTTAAAATGCTTTAAGGAAGGCAAGTTTTCAAAAAATCTTTTCTGTGAAACTAAGCAGACAAAAAAGCGGACAGACAACAACCTAAATAAGCCCAAATTTTCTATTTGCCAAAAAAACAGGCCTCAACTAGAATCGGACTCCCGGGATTTGTCGTCTCAAGCAAAGGGTTTACAGCAACTTGGAATAAAGCTGAACCATCGAGCTACGAAAACTAAGCTGAAAAAAAATAAACAGACAGACGATAATTTGAAACGCACAAAAACTCTAGTTTGTAATAAAAAAAGGTCCCGGTCGGATTCGAACCGCAAGCCTTTACTGTCTCAAGCTGTTGTTTTACATCTACGTCAGATGCGCCGGATGGTTGATTAGATGATTTAAATCTATATTTACCAAGCGGTAACAAAGCCGAAAATACCTGAGAAGAAAACCTTCAGACCGAAAAAAAATTCAAAACTTATAAAACTGTTAAGTCCCTTTTCCTCTCAGAGCACACACGCACGCGCGCACAAAACTTTTTCGGTCGAATAAGACGCAAGAAGAGGCCACTAAGTCGATATCAATTAAGCCGAAAATTATTAGGCCGTTGAAAGACAAAAAAAGTGAAATTTCAACAAATCGAGCTTGGTAAATTGCGCTGGTAAAATCACAACTAATGTGAAAAACAAATTTCGATTCGACCGTCTTTTTAAAATGCTAAAAGCAACTGCAGTGAAAATTATTACAGCTAAAATAAACGATTCTTAGATGTCGCAACTAAGCCGACAAAACATACGCAGACAAATAATAAAAAAATTTTTTAACTGGAACATTTACTGTTTGAAAAAAGACTGGTCCTGGTCAGATTCAAACAGAGGACCTTTGCCGTTCCAGGCGTTTTCGTTACCCCGACTATAAAGGTGCAAAAGACATTACAAAAATTGAATTCATTATGAACCAAGGTACATCAAGAGTCCAATGACGCTTTTTGCCAAAGTTGTTTACGGGGAAAAAAGTCTAGTACCCGATTGTAATACCCTTGCTTATCGCAAGGGTAATAAAAAACATTGAAATGAAGAGCACGGGGTTTTAATGGTCAAAACTTCAGTACTTATTTAGGGCAAGTCACTTACACAACAGTTGGCCACACTGTCGTCATCCCGCAGAGACCAATGCTCGGTGAGTTCACTCTATATTCAACTATATTCTAATGAGAGTTTAAACAGATATATCAATTTCTCTTTATACTAAATCAAATATATTTGTTGTCCTACCATCTTCAGAATAGAATCCAGTGAGCTTCGACTAAACAAAGCAGTCACTTCATATATAACGACACAGCACTTAATTTCGAAACATTGAACATCGATAGCAAAAATCTAATTCAATTAGCTTAACACTGTTTCAGGGAAAAACTGTTGCATGGTGACATGTCCCCATTGCCGCAGTACTGTCACTACGAGTGTGGATCACACTATTGGTTCGGGGACATGGATGGCCTGTCTGATGATTATGGGGATCTCATGCCTAGTCTCATTGTTCATTGGCGTCGGTATCCTGTAAGTAAAAAATCAGCCATCAGATAACTAAATGTGGAATGAACTTGAAACTAAGTCTTAGAAGTTTCTCTTTTTCAGCTCATTAGGCAAACAAAAAATAAGGACATCCGGTTGCTGTGCAATTTGCACAGAATGCTCCGACCACATTTCTCAAATTTTTTTTCCAAAGTAGTGTCTTTTTTTGTGCGTCGTGATGATAAAACTATACCAACGCGTAAAAAATAGTGAATTAGGCATAAACGACTACAACTGCCTTCAAAAAATTTGCACAAAGAGGCCAAAACTCATTTCGTTTATTAAAACTTCAACGTCCAAAAAAATCTGCGAAGTCATCCAAGAACTGGATGCAGACCAGAAAGTTAAAAAAATTCCACCATTACACAAACTATTAGAAACTGTTCAGCACTTGTTACAGCACAGTTTTTCAAGCGCGCAGCGGTAGAGTTAAAACCTATGAAACAAACAAGGAAAAGCGTCACAAGAAAAAGGTGAAATCAGTTAGTGATGTTTTACACGGTGGCTGTAATATCCTTGCTCATCGTAAAGGTACAAGCCTGGATCTTCCCAGCAGTCCATCTACAGTATCTGTACCAAACGTATAAGAGACGGTCAAACAGTTTACTTTCTGATTTTTTCAGTGGGTGGTTTTTCTGCTGGATTCCCTTCTGCATGAACGACTGCAAGGATGCAAGACACACATGTCCCAACTGCAGACAGCTCATCGGAACATACACAAAATGATACGAATGACACAAGGATAACAAAAAAAAAGAATCAATACTGCAAACGAATTTTCCAAGACAAACAATAGACCCACTACGAAAACCACACACAAACTAATTCAACGCTCAGTTTTTTTGCTTAATTCTTGCCAAATTTGCTAAGAAATTTAATATATTATTCTTTAAAATGGTAATTTCCTATCGATAACTCGTTTTCAGACATAAGAAACAAACAACACTTTGTATTTATAATTAAACCAAGAATATTTTATTAAAACGAACTAGTAGAACAAAATTATAATCAATCCCATCATAGAAACGATTAGAAAAACTAATCAATATTCATAAATAACTAGAAAAAATCTAGAAAATTCTAATTTCCGTTAAATCGCAATTCATTGTGAATTTGAATCATTGTAAATTACCAGTAAACAGTCCCTTTCTAGCATTTTATATCATCGCGTTAATTTTCAGAAGATTATTTTTGGTCATGAATCAGAAACCAATCAAACGGCAAAAAGGATATATCAATCCCAAATATACCCTGTATCCCAGTAATAACGATTAGAAATCCAAATCCCTGCAACGATAACTGCCTTTCGACTACCTAACAATAATCGGCTCGATCCAATTGCATCGCAGTTGTCGCGGAACATGCTCGTTTCAATACAGATAAAGCATGTAGACCTCCCATTTTCCCGCAAAATTCCTTGCCGCGCTGAACTATTTTTTGCATTATCTGTCCAGGCTTCGATCGTAAGGAGGCCCCAAATCTTCCCGAAACTCGGAGAAGTCAACAGCATCGAATGTCCATTTTTGATCTTCATTTTCTCCATCACATATATCCATAAACACTTTGGATCCGTCAGTTGATAAACAGAGCTTCGTTCTTGTGTCCAGGTCGTGTTTGATTTGTAAGGTATCCTGCAAAAACAACAATCCAAAACTCAAAACATTATCAACAGATGGTTAAAAAAAGAAATTGACAAAAGGACACTAAAACTTTCGACTGCAAAATTTCTAAGAAAAAAAATCATGTCAAAGCTCTTTGAATTCCAAGAATTTGTAAAATAGAGCAAAAAATCAAACTTGAGCGTGATTTCCCTAAGCACATTTATTAGTCACAATCACTTCCTTTTTTTTCTCAAAAAGAGCACGCTAAAAATCCCTAAAATATTTCACCAAAACGTATGTATCATTTTGACATCACATTTTGCTAGAAAAATGGCCACAGGAAATATTTATTGAACAATTTGTTAATTTAACAAAGAATTTTACAGGTCCCTTTATAATAATTAAAACATTACTCGCATGACGGGGAAAAATTCATTGGAAAGCATTATTCAAAAATATAATTTTCACTAATTGTGTGATCCAATTATTTGCAGTTCATCCTTACTAACCTTCATATAGAGCCATTTCTGGTTTCCACCCTGCTCGTGACACTGGAACCACTCCGGCTGCGCTCCTTTCACGTGTCTCGCTAAGTCCAGACAATCTCGGCCATTCTGCTTTCTCATTTCTCGACGCCACGTTAACTTGAAATGAGGAACCTTAACATCTTTACTGGCACAGTTCTTCAAAACAGTTCCACCGTTATCGCCTCCATTGATGTGGAGGCACATCTGGAATAAACCAAAAAAAAAATCCTAAAACTGATATATTTATCCAAATAATTCAATATTAAAAGAACGAAAGATTTTATCGAAATGAAAAAATTTGCATATAGGTGCATATTCAATTATTTTCTTGTGTGCGAAAATGAAATGTTCCATTTAACCTCGAAATTTAAAGCCAATCAGTAACAATTTCAGTTTCATTACTTATCATTAAAAGGTGACAAGAAGTCACTTCGGTCTTTAAGTAGTTTTCTGAACATGATTTGCAGATTGGGAACACTCACCGTTTCTTTTTGTTTTGACCTGCACCTGCCAGTTGCGTATGGTTTGGGTTCGACAGCTGGATAGTACCATCCCTGATCGTACGCCACATTCTCCATATACCACTTGAACGATTTGCACTTCAGCTTCGTCCTTATCTGACGTCTCTCTTCTAAGTCGTCTCCAAGGGATCTTCCTTTGAGACCTGGTTTGTGTTTTAAGTAGTACTCTTTGTATTCGTCCATCCATAGTTCTGCTATGCGATAGTGGTTCATGCCGATGACGTCGTGGCCTCCAGGCACTGAGAATGACATGTGACTGCGGTAGATATGTCCGACCCTAAAAATAAGAAGACAAATATGTCCCAATTTATTTATGTTCTCGAAAATAAAAGTGTATAAAAATGGGAATTAAATTAGTGTTGATTAATTTTGAAAGTCTTGCATTCCCTTTAACATACATAACACAGGTCAACTGTCATGACACTTCAGTACTGTCAATGCACCTTACCGTTATTCTCAATATTTTTAACATACGCAACTAAGTTACATCATGAACCATTTCGTTTTTAGTTTTCACATGAATGCTTGGTCTTCAATTGCCAATATCAAGGTTTTAACTGACCTGGAACAGGGCACCTCTTCCATCTCTCCCCCACACATCCACACTTTGAAGCTGATCTCATACTGCTCTGCTCCCCATATCTTGAGAAACGGGTCATATCCACCCAGCAGCCAGAACCAGTCTCTGTGGATTGAAAACAGACCTCCTGCTTGAACTGGAGTTTTTATAGGGGAGGCTGCGTCTTCCATCGATGCGCGCTCTCTGGCTAAACAAGCAAAACGTATAAAATTTCTTCAAAATGAACAAAAAAACTCAATAGTAAACGAAGCGTCGTATCATCGAAAATAATCATCATATCGAATTAGAAGTCAAGATCAACTTCATTGCTCAAATTACGACTGGCGAACAATATTCCAATTTTTTCAAAGAAAAGGAAAAATCCCTCGCCAAGTATACCGAACACGTTTTGAAAAATGCTGATATTTACCAGTGATTGGGAGTCTCTTGTAGAGTAATTCCCAGCTGAAGGAGCCCCTCAAGATACCTCCCGGCTGCTCCTCGTAGTTGAAGTTCTTTCCATCTACTACGTCTATCATCGGCTGCGGAACCGACTTCCAATTCATGGCTATCCTGAAACTAGACGTTGATTTCTTTTATTCACGGCGAAACAGTGAAATATCATATAGGTTTACCGACAGCAAAGTTTTACACACACGCAAAACTCTAGGTACTCATTCGTCCAGCCCACAATTTAAATAAATTTTCATGATAATGGAAATCGCACTCTTATTTTTTCCATTGAAACTGATAATTATACGATTTTTCCATAGTAAGTTTTTATGATTCACGACGCTCAAGGGAAAAACAGAAACCTACCTATCTAGTAGAGGCGGTAACCAGTTATAACTGCACTCTATATGACTATCTAAGAAAGTCAAAACCTCTCCTTCCGCATTTCTAGCACCGAGAGACCTCGCCTCAATGAGGCCCAGTCTGTTATCCGAATATATCACTCGGGTCTTGGGCAACTTGTGCACTTCAACATGGAACTCCGAGACCCTGTTTAGTTCTTCATGCGTGCTGGCATCGTTGACCAGGATGATTTCCCTGATGAGATGAGAAGGCGACTTGTTCAAGATACTGTGGATTGACCTAAAAGAAATCTACGAATAACTTCGGATTCATTAACGAAATACATTTGATAGCCAAAACGACTACACTGATCTGCAGCGATTCCTTAAAATTCACGAAATATCAAACAAATGATGCGGAAAAAAGAAGAAACATTCACATCAAGTATAGCAGATACTTAGACAAAAATGAAAAATCACAGCATTGATCATAAATAAAACAATTCATACATCAAATGATTGATGAGCTGGAATGGAACACTAACCTGAGAAGCACCGATGGCGCCTCATTGTGAAAAGGCATGATAATACTGGTGTCTGGCAAGTTCTCGTGATACAATTTAGAGGCACAAAGCGGGTGTCTGATATCTCTGATTGCCCGATCCAAAGAGACCAGGTCACTCACAAACTTCGAGTACCCATATTTACCCATAGATACCGACTTCTGCTCCTCCTCCGTTAATTTGACCTTTTCTCGTTCACCTCTGCCTTCACGTTTAGCTTCCAACTTCATCAAAGTATAATTATGCCAATCAATCAACTTGCCCAAATCTTTGCCTCTAGTTTTACTCAAATCAATTTCCTTTTCACTGTCTTTTTTACTCTGGACTTTTTTCTCATCTTGACTTTCATTTGACCGTTTATCTTCTTGAATAATTTGATTCTCATTGTTGTAAATATTGTCCAGACGTCGTGCTTTGATGTTCGGCCTCGGTCGATGTGATTCATCGTCAGGCGCAAGATAACTGATCAAAAAGAATAAACTGATGACGGCGAAGATGAATATAACAAACCTTCTCGGCGTGAGGCGCATTGTGCTTCTCTGATTTCATGCTACGCTAGAGAATACAAAATAAGTGGGCACATGGTTTCCACTCATTCATGGCGTCTAAAATTGGATGACATGACATACCCTTATAAAAATATGAAATATAGAAACTGATTACTTTTTGCATACAATTTTCCAAAGCCTTAAAACACAGAAACGAGGCAAACCTTCGCTGGACTGGTATTTGACCAAAAAGCTCCAGAAGGTAACGTAGTTGATGGAAGTAAGACAGAAAACCATCAACAGTAGCGTCATAACTGACAAAAATGCTCAAAAATTTTTACAAAACCATTTTTTTTGGTTGGAAAACATCTTCATTTTTTAAAGCTCTTTTCCAGAAATACAATTTTTGAGCTTTACGAAATACACATATAAGGAAAAACCACCTGAAAAAAGGTCCTACTAAGATATAGTTAATAATCAAAAAAAAGTTAAGCGGGTTTTTCGCTGAGGCAACAAAAAACAAGCAGCATTAGCTATTTAGTTTATCGACACGACACTTTTTCTCATAGTTAGAACAGCCTCATAGAACACTCGAAAACTATGTGTATTTTGTATTGGAAATACATGATATCTCTGATATAACAGAAACATAGCCAAGATACAGTTGGAAAAGAGTCAATGAACGCAAGTAAACAGATAAAATACTGACTTATTTTTTGACAAAATCTTAACTTTCGAAGTTCAAAAAAAATATATGGCCTTCAAGCGTTTTCAAATTCAACAACAATATATAATAAACACTTTTAGTGATAGACTAAGCCAATTTGAGAAAACTGGATCACTAGGTAAACTTTCGCTGGGAAAAATGGGAAAACATTAAATTCCATTTTCAAAACTAGAAGTCGATCATATTTTTTGTTTACTTTTCAACGTGTGCTGTTAACATTGAAATGATATGAACTTAAAAAAATCAAACCGCTAAAAAGCAATATTGAGCCTGAACAAATTCTAAGATTTTTCGTTAAAAAAAATCATTACGATCTATATAATATTTTGAACAACGATCATCGACTCAAAAAAAACTATCTATTTTTAAAACCAGATGTCGAAATAGTATTTCTAGTCACAAGAAAAATATAGTGATATACTAAAAAAAATATCCTATGAAAAAATTCATGCGTCGTCTATCCTCTCCATTTTGATCTCAATTAATTTTCTCTGAATCGCTCGACAAAATTACCAAAATGCCGAATGCACAAAAATGGGGGTTGAGAAATTAGACGATAAGCAAATTAGACGGAGGTACTTAAAAAGAAATTAGTCGATTTTGAAAACTGCAATTGTGAGAAAATAGACAAAATTGAGAGAGATTAAAATTGTTTACAGGCAACAGTTAAATTTCGGTGGCCAAAAATTTTACAAGTCAATTATGCATAATTTATTCATTCAAAACTCTCCTGTAATGTTCGGATTTGACATTTTATGTTCATTTAAACTAATTGTTTTAATAGGTATTGACATTTTATGTTCTTTTTTTATCTGTGACTCTTAAGAAAAATTTTTGTTGGCCCCTTCCTTTTCATAGCTTTTTCGTCTAAAATGCCAGATTTGTAAAAAATAAATTCCGTCTGATTTCGTTTTTGTAGCATCCGTCCAATTTGATTATCGTCTAATTTCCTAGGCCCCACAAAAATACTTATTTGCGGGAAGCTCTAATAATCGAAGAGAAGAAACTCTGTAAAAAAAAACAAGAAGGAAGCCTTGAAAGTAAATCAACTAAAAACAATTGAAATGTACTGAAAACCGCAATTTCAACTATGATATTATTTAACGAAGAAGATAATTTATTTTCGATTTTAACTAAATATCTGAACACAACAGAATTAGGATTAAATAGCTACGCTCGAATGTCGCACCTGCACGTTAAACATAACTAAACCAAAATTTAGCAGGAAAAAGTTTTTATAATATATACTTCTTGTTTTTATTCTGTATTATATTTTAAGAAACCGTTTACTTTAGTTCAAACAAGATGAATAGGGCTTGAACACGATTCATTAATTGACCCAGGAGCTTTATTTAAGCATCAAAATCTTTTAAACAAATACTAAAAACATGATTTAGTCCTTTTCAGTCACTTCGAAACATAAATCAGAGACGCAGTCAGAACATAAACCGCGCGTCCTAATAAAAATTCACGTGTTCCTCTAATCAAACTAGCGCTAGGTTTGTCTGAATCGCAAGAATGGTGACACATTTTTTGCAACACCGCCGCAATTTTTTGCAATTTCTGTATAAAACCCAATCACATGACTTTTAATGGTTGTACTTGATTTAACGAACAAAAACACCCTATGCTAAACTTCCTTTACACCCCTGGGTACGTTCGAACAAAATAGCAATTCCTGACAATTGCTACTACTGCTTTTGGTCATGATATAGCTAGCTCTACGGCACACAAATGAGTTTTATCTCCCTTGTGTTCATTTCAACAAGGAAATTTAAATACTTATTAAACTGACGCTTGATACACGTATAATTTGATCGACTGAAGAATTGGTAAAATCATCAAGTTGAAAATTCAAACATAGCCAGTCGAAGATTGGAAAAGAGTAATGAACGCAAGAAAACATAGAAAAAGACTGATATTTTTGATAAAATCTCAACTTTCTAATTTCAAATAAAAAAATAGATGCCATTTAAGCTCCTTGAATTTCTCGAACAATTTCTGATTGGCTCTTTTTTGATAACATGAACCCAACTAGAGAAAACTGGATCAAAAGGTAAAGTTCTTTATTCCGCGCGAAATCTAAAAATTAAATTCCATTAGAACCACTAGAAATCGTTCACGTTTTTTTTCGCCATTACCACGTTCGTTTTTGGAGAGTGCTATTTACGTCACTTTCGGCATATGAATTTCACTTGAACTGAAAAAGTGCATATATACCTAAGCATATTCATAAATGCATCAATATGTATGAATGCACATCTGTAGTTATTAGAGGCTTTTACGACTTTTCGTGAAAAAAAAACACAGCAATACCTATATAAGAGTTTTCACTACTTTCATTAATCTAAAAAAAAACGTTCAAAAAACATTTCTTGTTTGATAATTTTTGATTAAAAATACTTGGAAATATAGAAAAGTTTCTTAAAAATTCTTGGAACTCAATAACCGCCACCAATGGGTCTTTAGAAATGGCATTTAGAACTTTAGAAGAAAACTGAAACTTCAAAGGAAAGTCTGGCTACTGCAACTAAGCCGACAAAAATAACACTGATGGCAAGCCGAAAAGTTTCTAGTTTTTAAAAAACAGACCGACCGGATTTGAACCAAAGCACTTTTGTTCTCTTAAGCATGCTTGTTACCTCTATAGCAGATGCAATGGATGTTTGATTGAACTTGAATTCATTTTGAAGCAAACTAAAAAACGTGCGAAATTTTCACGTGAATGAACAAAGATATTTACGGCATAAAAGTCTAGTATCGCCAGGGTAAACAACCCAACCCTTAAAAAAACTAAAATTCAAGCTTCAAACTGAACAAATTCGAAAACATCACGTATCTTAAAAATCATTGAGACCGAACAACATATAAAAAGAAACTAACTTCAATCATTAGCCTTAAAACTTACTGATTTTAAGAACCATTTATGATTGGCTTTTTTATGAAAACCGAATTTGAGAAAACCTGATCATCAGGTAAGTCTTTTATTCCGCTGGGAAATCTAAAAATCAAATTCCATTTCCGAAACTAGAAGTCGATCACGTTTATTGTTACCTATAGACTTTTCCTGTTCGATACTGGAGTTTGCCTTCCTTTTAACAAAGGAAATCAATTAAAACGAAATCATAAGTCAAACTGCGAAAAAGTTCCCGACTTGTTTCAGAACTTCCCAAAGAAGAAAAAAGACGACCTTCAAGCTCTTCGAATTTCTACAACAATTTGTAATTGACACTTTTTCTGATAAAATCAACCTCATTTGAGAAAGCTGGATCTATAGGTAAAATTTTTTGGGAAATCTGAAATTTAAATTCCATTTTCAAAAAAAATCGATCGCGTTTTTCGTGATGTTTACACTATTGCTGTTTGACAAAGGAAAATTTCCTCCTTTTTACAAAGGCAATGAAGTGAACTGAAGAAAGCAAAATAAAACAGAAACCAGCAAAAGTTAATTTGAGCCTGACTTTTTCTGAAACAAAAAAAAATTAAAAAAACCATTTCGACCCATATAAGATTGTGAACTTCGATCATCTACTCTTAATCACGAACTATGAAAAACTTCACTACGTTGATTGATTCATAAAAAGTAATCATAAAGTCTTTTTTCTTTCAGATATATTTGAGGTAGGAACGCTTTCTATGCTAGATTCACATCAACAGGCCATTCTTGTTGAAGATGCAATCCCAAGCCAAACTTCAAATGTTTCGGCCCAGAAAGTTATTTAGAATTAAAAAACCAGGAAAGAATGCACAAAAATGTTAATGTTAAAGCAAAAAAAAAGTTCAATGTGAGTCGATTACATAGAGATGAATGTTTGCAAACTTGATCACAAAATAAATTAATTTATAGTCAAGTTGATGAATGAATCTAATTGAGCCGACTGCCTCTCATTCCTCTCGATCGCATCAAAAAAATAGTACACAATATTTGTCAATTTAATTAGAGGTCTCTACAAATTCATAGATATAAAAAATGAGAATATTACCATTCAAGGAATTATACAAAATTCATATCGCTCTTTTACAAAATAAAGGTTTCTGAAAATGCTTGCACAATAAATATATCAATCTCTGGTGTCAAGAGTTCAAATGAAGTAGGTAATTCAAAGACACTCAACGGAACAGAAAACTAAGGCAATTGGGTAAGTCGGCGAAGTTCAATATACAAAACTTTCATCAAATAAAAATCTAGAGAAACATGCAAATAATTTGGCTAATTTATACATTTAACTATTAAATGGGAATTAAAGATTCAGTTTGTAAGAAAACACACAATGGTAAGTAGAAACCCGACAAGCAAACTCGAATTTTGTATGAACCTTTCAAACCATGTTTTCGAATAATCAAAATAATATAAAATCTAATATAAAAGCATATTAGGATCATATTCAGGCTAAAAGGACCAAATTTTATTCACATAAACAACGCATCACCTGATCTTTTTTTGTTTCTATTAGTTCATACATATAGCTCGCGGACGGCGATGAACTTTATCTACTTAATCAGGATACGAGATCGAATAACTGTCTAGACCTATCAACGGGACCTTATCTTAAACTAAGATGAACAACCAGCACAAATCAATGACACATTCATGATGCAGGAACATGGTAGCTTGTGGCGCGATTTCCTGATGTTTTCCGAATGCTCGATCTGGACGGTTCATCTCGATCAGTCGACTTTCTCTTGCCTTTTTTATTTTTAACAATTTCGTTTCGAGAATTTGGCGCCTTTTCAGATATCGAAGAAACCGAAGCTTCGCTTGAGTTTTGACTGAGTTCTGATTGGTTGGAAGTTAAAGTCTCAATTGTATCTGTATCATGAGGGAGAACACGTTGAGGTCGTGGCTTGACTTCGCTGTCTCTTCCTTCATTATGTGTAAGCCCTTCGTTTGTGTGATAAATTGCCTCCTCACTGAAAGCGGGAGAGGGTAGAGCTCCAACTGTTGGAGTTGTAGCTTCTGCTTTTGATACTTTGCGACATCGGAGAGGACACTGAAAAATCATTAACCTTACCGCCATATCATAAACAGCATGAAATATCACTGAACTAAAACGAAAAAAATCATAATAAGAACGAGTTTATCATCATTATAACGCCAAAGCTACATTATTTCGGATGTTGATATCTGGCTGAAAAACATGTTATTTGTGAAATCGTTAAATCATGAAAACAAATCAACAGGAGATTCACTAATCACTTCAGAGAGAGGCTCAAACAAAATTTAGGCCTATCAGTTTCCAAAAATGCGAAAAACGCTAGTCTTCAAAAATCTATCGATTCAACTCGAAAATCGATTAATCGAAAAACATTCAACTTGATATTTAGACACTGCGTGACTATTGCTATTGCTATTTACTCACCCCCATGAGGTCGAAGTCCAGTAAGAAGTCTTTTGGCGACAGTATTTGTGACAATGCAGTTGTGACCGAGTGGCGAGGAGTGGACTCATTTGAGAACATCTTCACATCCCTCGAAGAGTACATCCACGTCAGGTAGAATGTGCCCAGGAAGCCAAAGCAAGCCTGGAAGAAACCCTGGAACACAAGCAGGTAGTAGAAAATTCGTCTCGTAATGAGTGCCTAAAAGTTCACGCAATAATTCTAATGATGCTTCAGCAAAACTATATGAGTGAACTTGGATATTTCTGCCAAAAAAATTGAGTAATTTGCCAAATCTAGAAATCTGGCGATTAATTTAGAAAAAGATTGCATGTAGTAAAACCTATTTAAGCAGCTATTCGAAGACAGTTAGTAGCAAGGAAGGACGGAATTACCTACAGTACCAACTCTAGAGGGAAGGGTACGCGTCAGAGATAATTCCTACAGAAGGGCGAACGTCCCAGAGTTCAAGTGGACTGATCCCGCGACGATTGTCCTGAAGGGGAAGGTTGACATGACCATTTCGAACATCTATATACCCCCGGCACAGACAAGAGCCGACGACGAGGACGCCCCAACTCCTGGCGGCGTTACCAGCCTGTCCTAATACCATTCTAGCCGGAAGCCTCAACGCCCATGGAGAATGGGACGAATTCCAAGAGCAGGATCGATGAGGGAGCGAAGTGGAGGACTGGTTATCAGGACGCACGCTGCAATGCGTCAACTATCCATCTCACAATACAAGCACTAACACATCAACGGGAGACAAATCTTGCCCGGGCCTCACAGTGAGCACGGATGACCTAGCTGACAAGGTAAGATACACATGTACAACAATGGCTGATATGGGTTCGGACCACCTACCAATCCTTTTCTCAGATAGAAGGGAAATGTGCGCTAAAATGGAGTTATAAGAAGGAAAATTGGAATGGCTTCAAAGAAATGCTCAAAGAAATACACCACGACATTAGTGACACACTCGAAGTACAAAACCGGCGCATATCCGAGGACATAGTAGGAGCCGCGAAATCCAATATACCAAGAGGAAAGAAAAAACAAAAACGAAAACCCTTCTTGAGCCAATAGTGCGACAACGCACGGGACAGGTACACTAGATCTCGAAAGGAAATAGAAATAGCAGGAGGAGAGGCAGCTATCACAAAAACAGCGAAGCGAGGAACGATCTCAGGAGAACAATCAAGGCGGAAGAAGGAAATATTGGGACGAAAAATGCGAGATGAATCCATCAACCGATTTGTTTAGCACATTGCGGTGCTTTAGTGGAGAGAGGCCCACAGGTCGTGAACCAGCAGTACTAAGTAGAGTAGATCACAGTGGTCTTAGGCTGAAAGACGCGGTGTCAGATAAAGACAAACCAGATCTGTTCTGTCAGATGTACGCGAAAGTCTGGAGAGTGCCATGAAGGCCGGAAAACAAGGAGACAAAGCGAGAATCGTAAATGATGCTGAAGGAATGCTGTGAATGCCAAGGGAGAGATGCATGCAGTGAGTTCACTATGAGACAACTAAAACTGGCCGTGATATGACTGAAAAAAGCAAAAGCCCAGGCCCAGACGAGGTGAGTAACGAAATGGTCAAGAAACTGCACGAAAGCCATGGAGGCCCTGCTGGCACTGGTAAACAGGCCATGGAAGGAGGTAAAATCACCATCAGCAAGGAAGTTGGCGACAATAATCCCCATTCATAAAGGCAAAGGTAAACCAGCGGGCAAACCAGACAGCTATCGACCCGTAGCACTGAGTAGTTGCTTAGCAAAACCAGTGGAATGAATGGTGGCAACAAAGATTGTCTACGTGCTGGAGTCAGGAGGGAAACTTGAACTGTGTCAAGCTGGTGCGGTCCAAGACATCGTTGACGGATTAGAATCATCACCACCGAGACAGGCGTTACATCAGCAGGAGAAGGTGCGGCAGTAGTCACCAACAGAGCATGTGCGAGACACTACGGTCGCCAGCAGGAGAATTTTGCTCCTCATATCAAGCAGGCAGATGTCGCTGCAAACGAGGCATACCGTCTCCAACAAGTGAGGGAAACCATAAGAATGCAAACTGCTAGATCAGTAGTAAGACACGAAAGAAGGAAACAATATCAAAAATTTTATCGTCCATCAAGAAAACTCATTAGATTCTCAATGAAGGGTAGAGCCAAGTGCAGAGACGAGGAAGTAACCGCAAATCAACTCAGAACTGGGCACAGCTCGAACAATATGGCCACCTTTTTCCTGATCGGAGCAGCGGATAGCTCTGAATGCCCGGACTGTGGGTTGGAAGTGCATGAGTGTCAGAGGGGATAAGAGTTAAGGGTAACGCACGGTGAACATGAGCACAACTTTCTGGAACATACTGGGGAGCTATGCAAGCTTCTAAGACGAATGGGGCGGTCGCATATCGTCGCCGGTCTAGCGACGTCTATAAGAGAGCGAGATAGAGAGCACAGTTAATAATGTGTCTGAAAAAATGGAACATATCATTATAAATCCTTAATTTTGAATATTTTGACTAACAATTAATTGAGGAAATCGCGCTAACCTGTACTTTGTAATGTATGTGTTGACTTTCGCTTCCATTGAAGAAATCTTCCAAGTCAAAGATTTCATAATGGATCAAAATATCTGTAACTTGAGGCGTCAAAGTTGGCAGCAAAATATGGAATAACATCAGTCCAAAATGCTTAATTAATGGCGACAGGCAATAGTAATCTTCTCTGAAATTCCTCGCCCATAGAAGCACCGCGTAGATTGCATAACACTGCGAAGCCCATTGCAAAACATTGATTCCTTTCGCGGAGTAAAATAGAACAGAATTATCTGGGTAATAAATGGTTAGAGTTGCAATTAAAGCAAACGCGAAAGGCCTGAATATTACACACTGATAAGCTCCAATAATGGTCGTAATGTAGAACTCTCTGACTGATTTGATTGGTCGGACGAAAAACTGTAATCCGACTACTTGTCGCAGAGGGAGTCGGGTGGGCAGAAGTTGATGACCCTGGCAGTTCTCCCAGAAGAAGTTCATGAACAGGTGAAGAACCGAGAAGAGAGAGAATGTCTTGAAAGCCTCTGCCAAAACGGAGTAGGAGATGATCACTTCTCGTGAGGCAAACAGGAACACCCACTGAACAAAAACCACAAATTTTTTATCTCAAACTTTCAACTTAAGAATAATTCTAAAAACATACACTTACAGATTGTGCGCACAGAACAGGAACCAGGAAGAGGACCCTAATAAAGCCAAAACAAAGATCATTTTGTACGATTATTTTCTAAAAACAAATTTCTCAAGAAATGTTAACTTAATATTTTCCCTCGATGATAACATAATTTCATGATAATATTCATGATAACATAATTTAATATTCCCATTTCTCTCTCGCTAACAATCTCAATCAGAAATTTCGATGATCTTGTGACGGCTACGTAGCCTCGTATTAACTTCGTTCAGCTTCCGTTTTACTTAAAGCCTGAATGTGAATTGTGTTGTCAAGGTAGGGACTTGAAACTTCGTTTAAGTGAAGTTATTCACTTTTTGTTAATTGACGAAAGATAACAGTTGCATTATTATTTGAATTTAGGTTACCAAGCAAAACCCATTCTGTAACCAATCTGCAAATCCATTCTGAATTCAAGTTCTTATCTTAGATTTAGTTTAGTTAGAACCACATTAGTAGATTACCATTTCACGGATCTCACCTGACATAATGTCTTTGTATATTGGGGGATTTGAAATTAGCGATATGAAAAAGCAAGTTGACTCCGAAAACGACTAGCGACGCCATTATGACCACACAGCCAATCAATTGCATATTACATAACCGCTTCTGAACATCGCAAATTGGGTCTCCCAGCACGTGAACCCACGAGTAAGATAGCGAACATCCAAAAAACACGAGATAGACTATCAGAATCAAAACCGAAAACGTCCACCTTGGCGGACAGAGTCGGCAACATTTTCTGGTGTTTACAGGTATTTGAGGAGGCGGATCATTGGGAGCTTTTCTTCTGACGTCATTTTGATCGGCTCGAATTTCACTATTCCGGTCCAATGAGGCATCATTGTGTTGTCTGATTCTGTTCTTATGAGCTTTTGATTTACTATCTGTTGCGTACTTTTCTTTGTTCAGAGTTGGATTGGCGACACTCGGTGCATTGCTTTCCCATTCTGGAAAAGATTTTCGTCTTGAAGATCCGCGCTTCATAAATCCTGTCAAAGTTATAGAAGCAGCTTCAGTCTTCATTACGTCATAGTAGTACCATAGCCATTCAATAATGATGGCAGTAATGATAATAATAATCGAGAGCTTCGGTATTATGTACAATGCAATTTATACATTATATCTGAAACAATAAGGCGTAAGTTGTTTTTCGATAGTATGAAACGTTTTTAGAATTTGACACATCAGCTGTAAATCATGAACGAAATTATACAAAAATCGAATACAGGTTGTTCTTTAACTAATGATAGAGTAAAGCGTCTGCACTTTTTCTATTTAACCACTTCTAATTCGTGCGACCAAAACTAAATAATAAACATAATGCTTCCATGGTAACTTCTTTTCATTTCCTTTCCTGTCAAGCTTACGATATTGAACTCTGCCTATAAATCGGCATCAAAAATCAATAAGGGATTAAATGATGATTTCCTTTTTCCTTCGCTATCACTTTTAGTGAACAACTAGGTCAAAATTGTTTAAGCTTTAAGGCTGACAAACCGGATACCAATTTCATGAATCTTGAAAGAAAAAATGCTGAATTCATCATAATTTCTTAAAGCTATGTTCAGAAAACGTTTGATCAAATAATTAGAAATTCAGCAAAAAAAGCACATTGGCAAATCGACTTACAAATTAAACTGATAACGCATAACGTTTCATTAATCATTATCTGACAAAATTACCAGAGGACTCAGTGCATTCTCGTAAGGCCATCTCTGATTGAACATTTCACTACTTGATTTTCAATATTTTGAGATTTATTCTCATTTCAAATAGTTTTTGACGTAACTTGGAACAAAAAACTTGGTCAAAAGAGAAAACTACCCAAAATCGTGTCTTTAATCGAGTCAACATATTGCGAGGGTACCCAGTAAACCCAAATTGTACTTTTCAAAGTCGGTCCGGTTTGTATCCCCACAATTGAGTACTCCTCGTGACCTTTAATGGCCTCACTGTGGACTGATTTTATGGAATTCATAGGTAGTTTGTGGGTTCGTTCCTTGGTTCCGATCCACAACTCGTCGCTTTCCAGTTTGAAAGTGAGCCGAATATTTCCGCCGTCTTGTTTGATCATGCCGCTCAAAGGAGCAGTTGGAAGAGCTTCCTAAGCAAAAAAGAAATCTTAAACGAAATCATTCGAATTTATGTCTCTTCCGTTTTAGAAAAAACTTCCGGTTCTGCTGAAAAGGATATGAGCCGCTGAACAACAAGTAAACAAGAATATGAAGTAGCTATGCAATCTCATCTGATTTGAATTTTGCTTTTCTTTTATCGAAGATATCTGTTATCAAATTCGACTGACTTACTTTTGAGCCTTTGATTCCCAGCATCAAGTTTTCAGGTTTTCCTTTGTCCAAAACTTTCTTGTGTTGTGTCTGTTCGCAAAGAGGCTCTTTCGATTTGACCTTAACGCAATAATGGTTTATTATGATGAATGAGATTATGATGTATGAGAGCGAAAATTTCAAAAAAAACATATATGTTTCAAATTTACCTGATCACCTGCAACAACGTTTTATTTGCCCTAAATGATTTATAAAGAGAAGCCCTGATAAAAAAGTGCAATGGAATAAAATAAACATAGCCAACAGAAAATTGGAAAACTGTAAAAGAACAGGGAGACCGAAAAAAAATGACTGAGAACATTTTTCAACTCGAAAAAACATATATATCAGGTTAAAGCTCTTGAACTTCAAGAATTATTTGGCACTTTTTCCTGAAAAATGATTGGCAGATTTTTTCTAAAATATTGAACGAATTAAAGAAAACTGGATCAACTTTTTATTCCACTGGGAGATCTAAAAAAAAATGAAATCCGCCTACGAAATTTCAAATCCATTGTTTTTTTTTGCGCTATTTCCGCGTTCGTAATTGGAGAGCGCACATTGTGAACCTTTTACCAAATGAACATGAATTGAAAAACGCATATAACATCTAAGTGCATTCAGAAATGCATTAATATGTATCATGCACTTCTGGGGGTATTAGAGCAACTAAACAAAACAAATCAACAAGACCTTTATAAGTAAAAATTGGGTTTTTCCTTTATTGGTTTTTCCTTTAATTTTTCAAATTAAAGTCGCTATTTGCACGCGGTGTGATGCGAAAATTACACAAGCGTATAGAAAGTTGAGAATTAGCCATAATCGACATCATTTGTTCAAAAAAATTAAAAAGCAAAATTGTCTCAATAGAGATTCCTTCCAGGTAAAAATCCCCTAAAAAATGAAAATTCAATTAGCAATGGAGCAAACGTACAAAGAGGCAACATTGGCGACAATCTTTGAGCAGACACAAACTTATCCGAATTTACCCTCGAAACTACGCAACATAAATTAACTAAGCTGAAATGACGAAAGTTTAAACCGTTTAATTGCAAAATCACAAATTACAGAACTTTCAATCATAGTAAAAACTGATTAAATCATTAAAAGTATATGTTTTAGAAAGTAGCGAAGGAGCGAAAACACTTTAAAATCTTATTTTACAGCAAAAATCAGTTTTTGCGGCTTAAGAAAGATTAATCTCCTTCAATAACTTTCTATGTCTGTTTGCTCGCTTTATTCGCTCGAAATTAGAATAAATAAACCTCAAACCGGATTTTCTCGACACAGCAAAAATATTGGAAGTTTTTTCATCTCGGTGACTGAAAAACCTTTAGTATGACTTATCATTTGACCCAATGAGGAGTTTTTTGTGGAATATGATTAAGAGTATTCACTACCTTCATGACTCTTAAAAATACAATTTTTTTTTGAAAAAAAACTGATACACCCGAATTCTAAGTTCCTCCCTTTTTGCAGTGGTCGGAAAAATCAAAAGAAGTTGAAACCTGAAAATTTGTTGGAGTTTATGTCGGAATCCGGATCACGATCAAAAGGCTTTGATATGATATCACACTTGATCGCCTTCGGGCTTTCTTTGAGGTTTTAAAAATCGGTAAGAAAAAACACTACGCCATAGGTGCTTTAGCGAGGAACGGTCGGATTAAAAAAGATATCCATATCATTGACCATTTATAAAAGTACGCCACATTGAATTTGGGCAAAACTGATTTGGTTTTTTTAAAAGAATTTTAGCAGCATTTCAACACTGGATTTCAACACAGAAGTACAAATAGATGTATACAGGAAAAAAATGTCTGGAGCCCGATTGAAGGGCAATGGCTATCGTAAGTATACTGATATTTTTCAGACTTCAAAAGAAATATGAAAACTAACTTCGGTAGGATCGTCCAGTAGTTCACTCTTAGTGGGTACTTTGTTAACTTGTACCACATCCGACGGTTTGGACCCAATTAATAAAACTTTGCATCCGTTAATAAGAGAGGATTCTGATATCTTCATGGAGTCAGTCAACTTGCCCTTGTACATCAGCTTCTGTAGTGACTCAGGCACACCTGTTGATTTCTAGAAACACACTCGTACAATGAGATCTTAGTTAAATGCGCTGACCCTGGCGAGGGAACAACATCACAACAAAAACATATTTCCTTTATGACAACCAAGCGCAGAGGGTTGCAGCGCAAGTATCACCGAACGCAAACTGCCATAATTGCGCTTAATTTATCCATTTTTTAACTTCCAGCTTACTGATAATGCTTACATTTAAGTGTCACGAAATGCGTAAAAATAGACGAAAAAAACTAACAAAAGATTCCGTTCAATACCATAGCAGAAAATTTAAAATTTGGATTAAATAACCAGACTATTCAGGCAAATTTTTCTTGGCACTAGGACATTTTCAAAAAAAAACTAATGCAGCTGATATCGTGCGAAAGATAAGCCCCGAAAAATATTGTAGTAAGTGAAAAGCATATTCTGATAGTATATATTATGGAAAGCATGTTTTGAGCCTAAATTTCACTATTAAGTAGTGTCAACGCCAGTCTGAGGTTTTCAAATACTATTGGTATTGTTCTGACGATTGAAAATGGGCAGGAAGTTCGGATGTGCTTTAGTTTTTTCCCCACGCAAAATCAGGTACCACAAATAATCATCGAACTGGGTTGAGTGATATATCATATGAAAGCCCTTACAATAGTGATTCGAACCACGTTAAAAATTTCCCTGTATCGAGAAAAAACGGTTTCAAAATTTTAATTTTTTGTCTTATTTCGAGCGAATAACGCGAGCGAGAATTCTCAACTTAACTTGGTATAATGCTGTTAGACAATTGCACTAGGCTTGCAAATTAGGGCTGAAAATTTAAACCTCAAATCCTTGTAAATTTCAAGAAAATTTTACAAATAACGAAAAAATTTTAATAACTATTAAAAAAAATTATCTTGAAGTTTTTTCATTGACATGCTTAATGGGTAGACTCTAAGTGGGCAATCTCTATGCCCTTTGTCTATCCACTTCAAAGTCTGGTGCTCTTAATGTTGGCATAATTTTTTCCATTTCTAGTAAATGTATATTTGTTATATGTTGCTGTTTGTTTTAACTTATGGAGAAATAAACTCTTCTTCTTCTTAATTTTTATTATTCTTAATATATAAATATTAACTCAATTGCTTAAAAACGTTACATAGCTGAAATTAAAACGTGAAAATTTAGTTTTACTTGAGTAACGTTAGTTACTTCGTGTATATTAGCCCCTTTTTGGAATCAAAATACTCAAAAAACTGCAAAAATTTTTCTTTGTTTTTCTAGTTATTTTTCTACAGAAACTAATTTTCAATTGCCTTTTTACTATGACTGTCGAATATACCTAATCACCAATTTTTTTGTTCAGCTCCTTTTCATCCCATAATGACGAAAAACGACGACAACAATTTGAAAAAACTTTTGTTGTACTTTTTAAGACTATGGTCGGAACATTCTGTGCTACTTGCCAAGTTACCGGCTATCCTTGTTTCAATTTATGTTCATCCTTGATCATCAAATGATTATTTGTTTCTCCATTCACTAGGTAAGGATCGAAGGCCTCATATGGTTTCGAAAAAAAAATGTTTCAATTTGAAATAAATTTGACAAATTGAGAATTAACTAATTAGTTTTTGATTAACTAGTGTTAATGTCCCATAAGTTTTTACACGACACAAGGATTGCTTTTTATGATTATCTTAACTTCCGATCAATTATCAAATTCCTGCGATTAATTGAAGGTCGTCTCAAGTTAAAGGCGGAGTCGACTTAGCGTTGGCAGACAAAAAAGAAACACAACAAATCAAAAATATGACTTAACGAAAATCATAGGTTTATTTGTTTTAAAAAAATTGGCCGTGGCAGAAGAGATTCACATAACCTATCATTTCGAAAGAACCCAAACACTCAGATTTGGGAGAGTAGTTCTCGAAAATCAAATAGGTTCAAAAAACGGTAAAAAAAAGATTTGGGAGAAAGTCTCCCAAAAAAAAAGATTGTCGAGAAAGTCAAATCGTTTCAAAAAATGAAAAAAAAACGAAAACTTTCGAAAGCTATACCATTTAGTGCGAATAAAATTGGGAGTAGTCAAATATGCAGGGAACTTCTGAGGGTAGTTTTGGAGAAAAGTCAAATAGTATCAAAAAACGGTAGAAAAAATTATAAAAACTGACATTTCCGAATGCCATAACTTTTTGTGTCAGAAAATAGAGCGTAGTCGCGTATGCCGGGGAGCTTCTCACGATTGGTTTTTTGAATTACACCTAAAATCTCAGATTTCAGAGTTTAGTTTTCGAGAAAAATTGAAAAAATCAAAAAACTGTTTTAAAAAATTCGAAATCTTGACTTTCCGAGGGCGATAAATTATTTATGCCTAACTTAAACCGTTAACTTAACCCATTTAAACTTAATTTTAGTTTTACTCGTGTAAAGTTAGTTTCTAGAGTTTTTTTTAACGCCATTCTGCGAATCAAAAAATTGTTTGTCCTTTTTTCTTATCAAACTGTTGCCCAATTTGCCTATTTTCCTATGACCGTCGAATATGCCTAAGTTCTAATTTTTTGCTCAGATCCTTTTATCACACCACCAAGAAAAAACGACACTAACTTTTGATTTAAAAAAAAAACAGTTTTATTTTGTGTCTTTTTAAGACTATGGTCGGAACATTCTGTGCTATTTCACAGTAACCGGCTATCCTTGTTATGATTTGAATCTTGACCATATGCCTCAAATATAAGCTAGACATGCACAGGAGCGAACTGCCTGGGGTCAAGGGTGGGGGTTTACTGGTGGTGGGGACGACCTCTCCCACTCAACATTCCTTTGAAACTATTTGACACCAACAGCCATTTCTGACTGATAAACTCAAAGTTTCGTAAAAAGTAGGTACTGACTTGGTATCTTTTCCACCAAAAACTCCATATTTCAAATATTCTAGTTTCATACTTGTTGAACGTATTATTAAAGCGAAAATACAGATGTTAAGATGTAAAAGGCTTCATAAAAAGAAACTAATCGATAACAGGATAAATGGTCAAAGAAACTACATCTACAAAAACTTGCATGCAACTATTTTTTTTTCGGAATAAAAATATCAAGAAGGAGATTTATTGATCTTAAACAATCATTAAAATTAACCATGCGGTAAATAAGCCAATAACAATTAGGAAGACGACAGTTATTTTTGGCGCGATAAATTACAAAACCGATTTAACATATGCCGAAACCTTTCAAGCCGAATAACTCTTTAAATGAATAAAAAATAAAAGACCACGCTCGCTAGCTCACATGTTTAAAAAAAGTTGAACAAAAACGGAATTAGTTAATGAACAACTAAGATTTAAAAACAAATTCTGCACACGGGTCTTTAAATTGCAAGCGTGTTTAAAATACCCATGTTGCACTAAATTTCCGACAAAGGCCTTCAGGAGATGAGTGAAGTGAAAGATCAAATCAATTAACAACAGTAAAATAAAATAAACAACAATAAAATAATTTTTCAATTGATATTAAAATGTGAGGGAAAATAGCTCCAAATTTGAGCTCATTTTTTGGCCAAAACCTCCCAAAATAGGCCTTCGCGCCGTCAAAATTTCATGCACACACCACTGGCGGGCGCCGGACATCAAGCCGACGGGACTTCAAGCCGAATCGTAAAATTAGGGACTTCAAGCCGAATATTTTCTTCTAAACTTGTGAAATATTATTAATTTGCCGTTTTCATAAAATTCAATCTTCCAAATGATGTTTAGGAAAGGTGAAAAATGAAACACGGTTGAAGGCGTTTTTCATGTTTATAATTTATGCATTTCAAAAACTTTCCGAGGGCGATAAATTATTTATGCTTAACTTAAACCGTTAACTTAACGCATTTAAACTTAATTTTAGTTTTACTCGTGTAAAGTTAGTTTCTAGAGTTTTTTTAAACGCCATTCTGCGAATCAAAAAATTGTTTTCCTTTTTTCTTCACAAACTGTTGCCCAATTTGCCTATTTTCCTATGACCGTCGAATATGCCTAAGTTCTAATTTTTTGCTCAGATCCTTTTATCACACCACCAAGAAAAAACGACACTAACTTTTGATTTAAAAAAAAAAACAGTTTTATTTTGTGTCTTTTTAAGACTATGGTCGGAACATTCTGTGCTATTTCACAGTAACCGGCTATCCTTGTTATGATTTGAATCTTGACCATATGCCTCAAATATAAGCTAGACATGCACAGGAGCGAACTGCCTGGGGTCAAGGGTGGGGGTTTACTGGTGGTGGGGACGACCTCTCCCACTCAACATTCCTTTGAAACTATTTGACACCAACAGCCATTTCTGACTGATAAACTCAAAGTTTCGTAAAAAGTAGGTACTGACTTGGTATCTTTTCCACCAAAAACTCCATTTTTCAAATATTCTAGTTTCATACTTGTTGAACGTATTATTAAAGCGAAAATACAGATGTTAAGATGTAAAAGGCTTCATAAAAAGAAACTAATCGATAACAGGATAAATGGTCAAAGAAACTACATCTACAAAAAACTTGCATGCAACTAATTTTTTTTCGGAATAAAAAAATCAAGAAGGAGATTTATTGATCTTAAACAATCATTAAAATTAACCATGCGGTAAATAAGCCAATAACAATTAGGAAGACGACAGTTATTTTTGGCGCGATAAACTACAAAACCGATTTAACATATGCCGAAACCTTTCAAGCCGAATAACTCTTTAAATGAATAAAAAATAAAAGACCACGCTCGCTAGCTCACATGTTTAAAAAAAGTTTAACAAAAACGGAATTAGTTAATGAACAACTAAGATTTAAAAACAAATTCTGCACACGGGTCTTTAAATTGCAAGCGTGTTTAAAATACCCATGTTGCACTAAATTTCCGACAAAGGCCTTCAGGAGATGAGTGAAGTGAAAGATCAAATCAATTAACAACAGTAAAATAAAATAAACAACAATAAAATAATTTTTCAATTGATATTAAAATGTGAGGGAAAATAGCTCCAAATTTGAGCTCATTTTTCGGCCAAAACCTCCCAAAATAGGCCTTCGCGCCGTCAAAATTTCATGCACACACCACTGGCGGGTGCCGGACATCAAGCCGACGGGACTTCAAGCCGAATCGTAAAATTAGGGACTTCAAGCCGAATATTTTCTTCTAAACTTGTGAAATATTATTAATTTGCCGTTTTAATAAAATTCAATCTTCCAAATGATGTTTAGGAAAGGTGAAAAATGAAACACGGTTGAAGGCGTTTTTCATGTTTATAATTTATGCATTTCAAAAACCGGCTGATGTTATTAACGGATGCCAATCCCAAGTGGTGCATTGTCATGAATAACGCAGTTAAGTCCCTTCGGCTTGAAGTCCCGTCGGCCTGTTGTCCTAGACCCACCACTGGCTAGACCGGTGACCGACCTTTACCAGACCGACCATTTACCAGACCGACCATTTACCAGAAAAATTATAACATGGACCTTTTACCAGACTCCATAAACAAATTTGATTGACAGGTGTAATGGCGTCGTTTAGTCTGGTTAAAGGCAATGACAGTTTCTCGGCGAAACTTTGCTTGTTCTAACCGCTTCCTTTCTGAATCTTCCACTAATTTGAACGTATCTTGAATGAATTATTGCATTGTGGTCTGGTAAAAGGCAGGTCTGGTAAAAAGGTCAGTCTCGTATAAATTACCTTGCCCCGGCTAGACCATATAGCTGGAGTATCTGAACTCGCAGCCGAAGAACAATTTCTTACCTGTAACTCTTTTTTGAGATCTAGCACCGTTTTAGATTTCGCTATTTTTGTATCATAAATAGTTTTGTTATAGGCCACTTTAACTGTGATAAAATCTTCTGGTTTTTCTTCATTCGTGGTTTCCGGAACATCAGCTGAGGCACTTTCTCCTTTCTTTTCTTCTACGTTTTCCGGTGCCTCTTCAATACCTGGAACAATTTGTTCAGCTTTTTCTGTACTTGGTTCAGCTGGGTCGTCTTCGGTAGTTCGCGCTTTCTTTTCGTTCGGCTCTATCTCCCCAGGTGTCAGTGAGCCAGAGGCGGAGTTATTGTCCACTGCTGAGTCCCCATTCATCGCACCATGACTTTCTTCTTGGTCGCCAAGTGATGTTTTAGCACCGCTCTCATTTGGCGGAGAGTTCTCACTCATCAACAAAGTCTGAAAAGTGAACACTACAATAGTGGATAGTCCGAGCAAATTGAACACAGAGGCGAAGCGGGGCTTTGCGCCACTTGCGATTAAACACAAACAAAAAAAACATGAGTCGAAAAAACGGAAAACTAGTTCTACCAAATTAAATTTTCGTATGTCTCGATAGAAGCTCATTCTAGGCTAACTGCCAGAAATTTGAAAATCAAATTAGCAACGGAACAAAACTTGCGAAGAGAAAATAAAGACGGCAATCTTGAGCCGACACAAGTTGAGCACAAAAAATATGATTTCATAAAACATCTTTACAGTTTTAGGTCCCACCTGAGACTAGAATGAACAACACTTGCACTTAACTACAAATGAACTTGCCACCAGCACAAGAAAAGAAAAACCAGTCATGTGGCAACTAGGCTGTTCTAGTTGTTTACCCGATTTAATTGCTCTCCCAAGTGTAACAATTCCTGATTTTGTCGAACAGGAACTTTTGCCCTCAAAACAATGCAATTTAAGCTCATTATGCCAAAAAATATAAACTGAAACAGTTTAATCGAAAAAAAAAAATATATATATATATATATATAAAATTATTTAAATCAGACTTGGTAAAATGAAGTGTAAAAAATTCAAAATCTAAATTGAATGCACGCTTACCAAAAACAGTTGAAAAACGCTACCAACTTAAACAAATTTCATTTAAAACACCGAAATTGAACCGACGGAAACTAGGCCGAAAACAACGAATTCGAAAAAAAAATCATTTCAAGAAAATCATTTGAACAAACACCGGAAACGGACTACACCTAATTTTTCATTACCTAAATAAGGTAGTTTTAAATAAGGTAGTATCAACTAAAAGTAGTTTTATTTGAATTTTAAGAAAATGAGCATGTCTGAAGTTAAATACTCCTTTACATTTGACTATTCTGTGCGTAAAATTATTTACGGGAAAAAAAGGCTAGTACCCGATTGCAATACCCTTGCTCATCGCAAGGGGTAAACATAGCATGTAAAACTAAGAAAACGGAGAACTGCCTGCGATGGAGGAAAAGGAACAGAAGATTCCAAAAATAAGCCGATAAGGCTTTTGAAAATTTAAGCCAATAGATACCATAAAACTTCTTTGTACCATTGAAAAACTCATGGAACATGAAAGTCTGAATCAATGGCTTATCTAGTCGATTCTATGACTACCATAGTCTGTATGATAAAACTGATCGCTCGGAACCTTGCTCCGGTTTGTGGATAGACGTAGTAATATTATCGCTCTATATTATGACTATACTTAAATAGTGTAGCTCTTCTCCAGTTTCCCCCTTTCAAAAAACCGAAATTTATGTTTGTTTTACGTGTTATTACGGCTAAATGCGTGATGTTACGCTGTAAAGTATGAAGAACAAATCTGTTCACAGTTGTCAATTTGTTCACCACGTCAAACTTCATTGCATTATGACAACGTTAATTAAGCTTTTAAAAAATGAATTTGAATAAGGGGGGACTGGAAAAGAGCCAAAATTCGTCTAATACAAAACCGAAACATATTAATTTTGATGATCAGAGTAAAAATACCTTCTCGCGGCAGCTAAAATATCTAACAAATATTTCGGCTCTTGAATATAAGTTTTATAGTGAAATAAGCAGGGGCTCTTTTTATTCCCGCCCCCTCCACCTCACATATCAAATGTTTGTCATGGCCTAATTAGTTCGCATGCCAATTTTCATACCATTCGAATAACGCGAACAAAAATTCACTAGTTGAATTTTGCAGGTGAGGCGGGAAGGAAAAATAGCCCAAGTTATGTATAGAAACCAATATGGATTAGATTAGAACATTGTCTACGAAATCTTCATCATTAAAGTTTACGAAGAAAAAATTTTCGAAATACAATCGCCCTTTGCTAAAACAGCAGAGTTTTTTTTATGAAAACCTGGGACATCAAAAATAAGTTCTATTTCAAAGAGCTGATTAAAAACCGTCTTGTTTTCTTGTTGTGATCTCCAGAATTCTAGCACGACGCACTGGAGAAATGGCTCACTGGAGGGGGAACCCGCGCCCAATTTAAAATTTTTCGGCTCTCCACTTTCGCCGGTTACGAGGTAAGATATGAAGAACAAATCTGTTCACAATAATTAGTTTATACGATGCAAAATCGTTTTACATCATGTATCATTGCAAAATCGTTTTACATCATGTATCATGCCCGTCAACGTTCAAATATTTTTTCAAGACTGAGTTTCAAATGTATGTGTGTGTGTGTGTGTGGGGGTTGAAAAAGAGTTGACTTTTCGTCACATCCCTTTTTTAGGTGTCCATCCCAGGCTAAAATTAACCAACAAAACTTGCATCTTATCAAAATTTCGTTAAATATTTAAATTAGGGCAGTGAGTGAAAATCAGGGTTCCATTTTATCAAAACTAATTTTTAGGCATTATTAAAACGAACGTGCTAATTTAAGCCTTAACATTAACAATCTCGAATTAGTACATTAGTGAAGTTGTTATCAATTTATTTCATTTAACAGAGAGAGTAACATGATTGGAAAACAAAGTTAATCATCCACGCCATTGTGACCTGCAGTGTTTTTCTTCTCGTGAGCAGCCAATAAAGTTAGTACCGGTTCTCATTTTTCCCTTTGCTTTAACTTGCATTATAATTACCCCCTAAAGAAGTAACTCAAACCATCTCATTTACAAGTTTAAGTCATTTATTTGTGCACCAAATTGTTTGACATAGCACAGAGAGAAGTGAGTAGTATGTATGATCCGAAAGATAGATGGAGCATCCGGTTAAATACTCAGATCGCACGTGCTTAATTGAGTTTTTTCGATGTCAATTAACGGTTCATACTCGGGGGAAAAAAGTTGGTTTCAATTGCACTACTATCAAATACTTCATGTTCAAGGACGTAATTGAAGCAAAACCGACTATAAGGCCTTTTGAAAATTTTGCCATAATTGATTTTAGTCAAATACATTTTTCCACCATATTGTCTAAGCGCTACAAAAAATTTAGTATATAAACTAGTTAACTATTTTACAACACGTTTAAAATTCATTTATGATATGAACTTGTAAAACCATTGGTTCCAACATAGAATTGATGTTAATACCTGGCGGTCAAAACAAATTTGCGCGCAAGAAAAGATGCGAAAACCTGATTACTAGTTCGCACACTTCTACGTTTTTATTGCTGTTTGGAACACCAAAAATTATTTCAATGGTATCGCCAAAAACCATGGGATTCTAATAAGGCTCTTTAAACACGTTACAAATTATGGCATTCTAATTAGGCTCTTCAAACTCCGTAATCACTTCCCCCACTTGATGGTTTTGCACTCTTTTCCATTTCCCCTTATTCGAGATTCAGTTTTGAAAAACTAATCAACCGTTGTCATAGTTTAAAAAAAATTTGAATTATGAACAACTACTTGAATCACAATTGTTCATCATTTCTTGCAATGGGTTTTGCCCCCCCCCCCCCCCCCCACCTGCAAACTTTTGTATTTGAAGTTACATTTCAATGTCCGATTAACATGAAAATTGACATGCAGACTAATTAGGCCATGGCAAACATATTTCGTCTTCATAATTAACCTTGTAAAACCACTCGTTAGCCCATAAAATTCATGTTTGAGTGAGGTGGGGGGAAAAGGAAAAAGAGCCTGGGTGTTTTCCATTATAGCCTCCCACATAATTATAGAACCACCAAAATACAAAAAAAAACTCTTTTCCAGTTTTCCCTCACCTTTCAAATTGTTTGGTTATTTATTGTTTTGATGATTATTTCTAGTATCTAAAATTGCTCCAAAAATTTTCAAAATTTTTAAGCAACTAAAAACAAAGTTTAGCCAAAAACAAAGTTTGATTATTTATTGTGTTGATGATTATTTCTAGTACCTAAAATTTGATTCAATCTAAATTTGAAGCAATCAAAAACAAAAAGTTCCTCCCACTTTGACTGGTCGGAACCAAAAACACAAGGCTAGATCTTATATGCAAAAAAAATCATTAAAAAGTCAGATATCAGACCTCCAACAAGCGCTAAAAAATCATATAACCCTTAACTTCAGCTACTTAGGGACTAAAAAGTACAATTAACCAGAACATTTGTTTATGACACATAATCAAATTGGATAGATTTATTTCAGGAATTCCGCAAGAAAAAGTCCTAATAATTCTCAGTTTGGATTTGAACATAAATGGTAAGGATAAATCAATACCAAATGACGGCAAGATTGTTCAATTCGCTGGTAAAGCTTTTAACAAAAATGAAAATCGGGAAAATGCTTAAAATTAGATCGAAGTGTCGTGGAACTTTATCACAAAACATCAAACACAGCGGCGAAGCTGCAACTTCGGGAACACGAGCGAAAAATCGGCTCAAATACTGGAGCTTTAAAATGCAGCATAAACTCAATATAATATTGCATACAATAATTTGGAATGTAATAAACTTAAGGCGACCACACTAACTTTGCAAGTAAATAATTAGTATGTATTAAGCCAAATCGAGTATGAAATATGCATTTCAAAAATCTCGCGAAGTATATTGAAATGGAAAATTTCTGAAATGGGATTTTAATTATTATACTGTCGTGAAACAAATAGCTTTTTACGGTTCAATTGATGAATTAAAAAAGCATGAGCTATGTTAAGTGATTACTAATCAAATGTCAAAGCATATGTAAGTATACTGCTAAAGCAGCCTTCTATTTCAAAACTAGCACTTTTATTTGCGAAATCATACTATATTCAAAAATTACTTCAAAAAATCACATTAAATGCAATCCATCAACACAGAGGCGATGCTGCACTTCGCAGACACTAGTGAGAACACGACAAGTGAAAAAAGAAAAGCCTCGAAATAGTAAAAATTCGGCTATTTGTCGGATTTGATCCTCCGCTCTACAGAAAAGAGTCTCACGCACTAACCACAGCTACGGAAGCTTAAAAATTCACAAACACTAGCCACAAAAAAAGAGAACAGATTCTATCAAATTTCCCACTCTACAGATCTATAGCAACTATAGCAAAAGTTCAACCAAATGAGGACTTTTATTTGCGAGTTATATTAGAAAAAAAAGGTTCGTACTAATACACTACGCTCGCAAGCTCGCTTGTGTAACAAACATAAACCGATTAAAGACAAAATTGCTCTTCATGAATGCAATCGTTGAGATATTTGAAGCATCCAGTCATTTAATCAAAGAGCTATCAAATCATCCAAGAAAAGACAATTCCTCTTGAGAATTGAAAACACAAAATAAAATAACTTCGATTTAATTCTTCTTAGACGTGAAAATAACATCGCCGCTTCAGGAAAATTAAACATAACTTAATTAATATTACCAGCCTATATCAATTTGATTACCCAAATCAGCAGGAAACTGAACATCATAGAACCAAAAAAAAAACTTTTTTCATACAACGATACGATACTGATTTTACCAAAAAAAACTGTTCATGCGGCTGTACCAATATTGTATTTCAAAACCTTCTAATATGATTATAATCAAACTGAAACTTACAAAAATGTTTTCATAGTCTTCAACTAGAAGATAAGACAAGACTGTAGCAGCTTATGGAAAGATATCCAGGAATAAATTGAAATTTTTTGACTAGTTTCAATGTTTTTTCATCACTTACTGTGTTTTTCTATAAACTATCACCCCTGAACTTGTTCTAGCTAAACTTCATAGTAAGCCTTGGCTACTTTCCACTTTCCCTCCGCCTTTCAATTTCAATTTTCAACAACTATTTTAAACAATTGATGTTGAAACATATTATTACTGCTAATATATTAATGCAATGAAATGTAGCAGATTGAGCAAATTAACAAATTAGAACAGATTTGTTTGTCATATCTTACATCGTAAACTTACGTATTTAGCCATAATAACACGTAAAACTATTTTTTTAAAATAAAATTTCAAAGGCGAGGGAAATGTGGAAAAGGGCCAAAACCTCTAACTTTAAATGCGATTTTTTATTTACTCATTTTGTTTCAGCCACAAACAAAGCTTCTAGACGTCATGGGTTGCACATCAACAAAACCGACTCGCAAACCTTCCGAATCGCCGCCTAACACCAGCGTCGAGAAACCAGCCGCCAAGTCCAAAGCAGAAACTCCCAAGGAGAAGATATATGTTGCACAACATGACTGGGAAGCACCTACTGATAAAGATCTTCAGTTCACTAAGGGCGAAGAAATCTCAGTTTTCGACCAAAAGAACTCGGACTGGTGGCAGGGAAGAATCGGAGATCGACAAGGTTTCTTTCCTTCGAAATTTGTTATTTCAAAAGACAATGATCTAGGTCCTTGGTTCCACACCAAAACTACCCGAAAAGAAGCCGAACGGTTGCTTCTCGACGCCAAAGTCGGAACTTTCCTCATTCGACCCCGAGAGACGAACGGTGGATTAGACCCTGGTTTCTCATTATCAGTACGTGCACTTCAACCAGCAGAGCAAAATCGAGACCTCGATATCAGACATTACAGAATCAATGTTAAAGGGGAGGGAAATAATAAAAAGTATTATATTGCAGAAAAGAGTCAATTTTCATCGCTCAAGGAGTTGGTTCAATTTTACAAAGACTCAGATGATGTTGGTCTCTGTATTAAGCTTGGTGATCCTCTACAGGTACCGGCTCCACATCTTAACGACTTGAGTGTTGAAACTTCGGAGCAATGGGAGATTCCGCGGTCTGAACTTCAATTTGTTGAACAGCTTGGATCAGGCCAATTTGGTGAAGTATGGCTCGCACTTTGGCGAGGCAAGACTAAAGTTGCAGTTAAGACTTTAAAACCAGGAACAATGAAACCTGAGAGTTTCATGAGCGAAGCACATCTTATGAAAAAACTACAGCACAAGCACTTGATTCGTCTTTACGCCGTATGCTCAAAGGAAGAACCGATGTACATTGTGACCGAGTTGGCCCAAAAAGGGTGCTTGCTCAAGTTTCTGCGAGAGGGAGAAGGAAAAAAATTCGACATTCCGCAGATTATCGGCATGGGTGCCGACATCGCAGATGCTATGGTTTATTTGGAATCTATAAACTACATTCATCGAGACTTGGCAGCAAGAAACGTTCTCGTGGACGATCAATATTCATGTAAAGTGTGTGACTTTGGACTGGCAAGATGTCTGAAACAAGAAGAACAAACTTATATGGCTAGCAAGGGCAGTAAATTTCCAATCAAATGGACAGCACCGGAAGCCATAACGTACGGACACTTCACGATAAAGTCTGATGTGTGGTCATTTGGTATCGTTATTTATGAGTTGGTCACTAAAGGAAAAGTCCCATATCCAGGTTAGTCCTGTCTAATCAAGCTTTCGTTTCCGTTTTATCCGCCTGATTCGAAATTGATACTGTCAGCCCCTAAAAAACTTAGAAGTAGCTGTTCATGTGAGGAAAAAGCATCAATAGTGTTAATTCATTGGTACGTTTACAGCATACTCTTTTACATTGCATATGCTACATGTGGTAGTGGCCTTGTAGTACCATACTACGCTCCGTTGTTTAATTACTCCGCAGATGCAAAAATTACTCGGCTTACTGAAGGTTTACTGGTTTTGAATTAACCATCGGTATAAAGTATAGAGAAATACTGAAAGTGTACAATTTATGCTGGAATGATATTCGATGAGGAATGTTTATTGATTGTGGCACAAAATGTTCATGTCGGTGTCTCGGGTACTACAGGACGTGTATTGCTGTTTCTTCCGGTGTCCTCTCAAGGCTATCAAGGCAGTTTTCAGGATGGTGAGGGAGAGCTTCTTCCGGATATAGTTAATAGTGACCGCATACCTACAGTTAAGCTTCTCACTCATTTTTTTCCGCCAGTATAGCATGATATCGCTCTGCCTCCTCACCCATGGCGCCGTTGGTCGCAAAAATCAAGGGGGTAAAAGAGGCATGCTCTGCCTGCAGAACGCGGTCGTTGTATTCGACTTTTTTTCGATTCTCATGAGTCTTTAGGAGTGGCTTCAGTTTTCGGTTCCTATTACTTGGAGCGTTCGGATGTGTGAAACGGACGTCAAGAAATATTTTCTGAAGCGGCGCCCAAAAACCCCGACAAGAAATATCCAGTCTTGCATTGTCTTCCAGATTGCTTCCACTTGCAAGTTCTTCATTTCCCGTCAATTGGATCAGACCGGGCTCAACGCTCACATCCTTGCACACGTTACGTAAAAAGTCGGCTTCGACGTCGCGGACAGCGTTGTGACGCATTATGACGAAACCACCCAACTTACAAATCAAGGCATGGTCGATATCATTTGCTGCGCCACACTCACAAGTTTGAGCCATTCCTTTCAGGTGCCATCCATATCGGAGACATAGCGCATCCCGGAACTCGTTTCTGTTCATGTAAAAATTCTGCTCCCTAGATGGCAGACAAGTCAGCCATGCGGATGTTCCTTTTAGCTGTAGCAGGTCTAGCGTGCGCTTCATTTCATTCTCAATTCGGGAATACACAATTTCGAGGGCTTCTTTAGCATGTTTACGGTTCGATCCTGAAATTTCTGCTCGTCCAGTTCTATTTGTGTAGTCAATAAGATCTTGTTTAGCAATAATTGCGTTTTTCAGTTTGTTTGTCAGCTTGACAGAGTTTTCATAGAAATGAGACGCACATTCTGTTGGATTTATCAGACCTAAACCACCAGCTGAGCATGGCAATGATATTCGATGAGGAATGTTTATTGATTGTGGCACAAAATGTTCATGTCGGTGTCTCGGGTACTAGAGGACGTGTATTGCTGTTTCTTCCGGTGTCCTCTCAAGGCTATCAAGGCAGTTTTCAGGATGGTGAGGGAGAGCTTCTTCCGGATATAGTTAATAGTGACCGCATACCTACAGTTAAGCTTCTCACTCATTTTTTTCCGCCAGTATAGCATGATATCGCTCTGCCTCCTCACCCATGGCGCCGTTGGTCGCAAAAATCAAGGGGGTAAAAGAGGCATGCTCTGCCTGCAGAACGCGGTCGTTGTATTCGACTTTTTTTCGATTCTCATGAGTCTTTAGGAGTGGCTTCAGTTTTCGGTTCCTATTACTTGGAGCGTTCGGATGTGTGAAACGGACGTCAAGAAATATTTTCTGCAGCGGCGCCCAAAAACCTCGACAAGAAATATCCAGTCTTGCATTGTCTTCCAGGTTGCTTCCACTTGCAAGTTCTTCATTTCCCGTCAATTGGATCAGACCGGGCTCAACGCTCACATCCTTGCACACGTTACGTAAAAAGTCGGCTTCGACGTCGCGGACAGCGTTGTGACGCATTATGACGAAACCACCCAACTTACAAATCAAGGCATGGTCGATATCATTTGCTGCGCCACACTCACAAGTTTGAGCCATTCCTTTCAGGTGCCATCCATATCGGAGACAAAGCGCATCCCGGAACTCGTTTCTGTTCATGTAAAAATTCTGCTCCCTAGATGGCAGACAAGTCAGCCATGCGGATGTTCCTTTTAGCTGTAGCAGGTCTAGCGTGCGCTTCATTTCATTCTCACTTCGGGAATACACAATTTCGAGGGCTTCTTTAGCATGTTTACGGTTCGATCCTGAAATTTCTGCTCGTCCAGTTCTATTTGTGTAGTCAATAAGATCTTGTTTAGCAATAATTGCGTTTTTCAGTTTGTTTGTCAGCTTGACAGAGTTTTCATAGAAACGAGACGCACATTCTGTTGGATTTATCAGACCTAAACCACCAGCTGAGCATGGCAATGCTATGATGTCCCGTTCTAGATCACTGAGAGTTCTGTCGACTAAAAGAGAAATAACGTTCCTGACTTCAAGTGGCTGCATGTGCAGTTCAGAACCAGGAACAGTCCTCATTATAAAATTCCACCGACTCTGGATCACCTTGACGAGAGCAATATAGGCAAGATGGGGCTCCGTTTTGGCCGCTGCTTCCAGCGAAGACAACTCATTCGACCATTTTTCAACTTTGTCTCGTAGATAGTCGTTTGTGAAGTTCTGGCTGCCAATTGCCGCTCCCAAGTATGGACGTCCTTCGCTTGTGATGTTGATATTCGTGTTCTCAAAGACCTGCTTGGCTTGCTCTCGGAGACCCTCGCTTTTTATTACTAACCAGCATTTTGACGGTTTCGGAAAATACCCAAGCTTGGGGCCGATACTGGTCAAAAGATCAAACCACTCACGGAGTTGAACTAGCTTCTTAAGGCCTCCGGCGTCGTCAGCGAACCACTCTTGATGACACCCAATTTTGTTCAGACTGACAAGGAGTTTTTTCAAGCTCAGCGCATAAAATGCCATCGCTAAAATATCTCCTTGAGTGGTGCCTTCCTGTGATAAAATTTCTACTCCTTCGCCTAGAATGAGTCTGGCTGGCAACCGATAAGTATTGATAAGATAAGTGCTGATTTTTGGGCATATATGCCTTATGTTAAGAAGGGCGGTTTGACGATTCAGTCTGTTAAAAGCATTCTCAGCATCAATCAATAGAACGGCTTCTGTGGACTCCATCTGGAATATTTCCCTGGCTGCATGAATTGCTGCTTCAACGCCACCTTCTTGACCTGCGCAGGTTTGCTGTGATCCTGCTGCATGGCAAACATCGGCACAAAAATTTGAGCTATCGCTTTCCCGAGAACTCTTCTGATTATCTCTCCAATGCCTATTGGCCTTATGCCGCCTTTACCATCATTTTTATTCAGTGCAATTGCTCTGCATGCTATATATGATTCTAGTGACTTTGGGTCAACAAATTCGGTGCATATTCTCCTTCCTAGAGCGGCTAAGGACTCACAAAGACTTTGTGAGGCTCTATTGTGCTTCTTGGAAGAGAAGAGTTTCTTCATATTGTTCGCATCTAAACCTGATGGACCTGAGGATCCATGAGTCCGAAGAGCCGCTGAGTAGATCCTCTTCGCACCTAGATTCTCAAAGATCACGGGATGGACTTCGGGAGGAATACCTTGTAGCAATTCTTCCCAGTTTACATCTTGACCAATCGGATGTAACAATGCCATCTTTGCTCTCACGTGCTCTGTGGGAGGTAGCACTCCAGTAGCATCCGTTTGTGATAAGACTTTCACGGTAGCGCTCAGTCTCCCTTGGAGAACCAAATTGCAGAAACTTTTCATTTTGTTGTCACTCTTTCTAAAGGTTTTTGATAACTCGCCTTGTATTGCGCGGCACTCTTTGTACAACAAATCAATGTCACCGTCTCTCCACCATGCTAAACGCTTCTCTTGATACTTCAAATGATCTTTCGCTTTAGATTCTTTGGAAGGTTTCTGCAAGACGAAAGCTATCAGCAAATGGAAAGCTTTTATTGAAAAACCTTGCAACGAATTTTTTTCATTGAACATGTCAAGCAGTTTTGTGAGTTCCTCAATGAGAACTTTGACGGCATTTCCATGTGGAATATCGAAGGCATTTCTCTTCCAGTGTATGGCAATATCGTAGTACTCGTTGACCTTGCTCGCAAAAGTACTTGTTGATATTTTACCCCATTGACCTTCAATCGCTGCACTGTTTTCTACAAATGAAGGGAGTTCCTCACATGTGTCTGCTGCCAGCTTCTGAGTTGGTGGTGCAATCGTCGCGAAACGGTCATGTTCGTCATCCATATTTGGTGGCTCGTCGGATATCTGCATCTCCGCCATCGCCTGTGAGAGGTCCGATCTTCCGCTTTCGCCGCCACTCGGGTTGACGAGTAATTGACAGCGGGAGTCCACAATATCTTCTCCACATCGTTCCACATCTGGCTGATTCCCTGTCCCATCAAGAACTTCACTCGTTGTTGCATCCACTGGGTTGTCGCATCCACAGTGCCATTTACTGTTAGACCATTTCTTGATTTCTTTTATAGTCATTTTCGCGCAAATTCTGTGAAACCAGTTTCCACAATCACAACATCGGATACTGTACTCGTTGCCTATCGGTCTCGAGCATGATCCACACCTCCAGATTTTTGGCATTGCTGGAGCAGTCCTGTTCTGATATTGATTGTGTCAGTGTCCTGGTTCTAAGCTGCTGTTAACAAAATAATAATCGGCCACTCCATTGTGTCGCTGGTTGTTACGCATCCCATCTATTTAATAAGTTTATCCCATCTATTTAATAAGCTTACTGTCAAGTTTTGATTGACGATAATTTAACAAAAACCCACTAAATTGTCTTTGTGATAACATTAAGTCCAACCAGACAAGTTCTTTCTTCCTTCAAAATATAGGGCTGTACAACGAATTTCTTTGCCTATTGCAAACAAGAGACGAAATAAAACCACAAAACTCTGTCGTTGTGATCAATATCGTAATGAATTTGAGTGAGAAAAAGAAAGGCTTATGAAGCGGTAACTTTTAACACCACAAGTTAGCAGATAGGAAAGGAGAGCCACTACATCCAAAGAAAACGAAAATTTTTTTCGATGAAACCACAACTAAAAACTTCAAAATGCTGTCTGGAATGATGTTCTATTTGCGGAAAACACGTCCAGAAACACATTCGACGGCGTTTAATGAAAATTCAAAAACTATTTTCGAGCATGAAAAACTTTGAACTAAAAACTATTCAGAGGTTTTCAACGTTTTGTGCGCTCCGGAGGAAAGTTAACAAAATACGATTCTGTAACATTCGTCTACTGCAGTCACACATGAGGCTTAAGAAAAATAGGCCCTATAACCATTGGCTCAAGAGTCAGGGACACTATCTCTTGTGTTTTTGTACCTCAAATCAGTCGGAGCCAATTCGGTTCGCTTGTGACATGAGACTACGACTCGTTACAGCTTAAAGGCTACTACTAAAATATCCCCCCACTCTAGAATTAGAAACGTCCCCATACTTAGGTCTCTAGATACCCAAAATACATGAACGCCGTTAAAAACCGGGTTGGAACAATCCGTTAAGTTACTTTTTATTAGACAGTGGAACTTTGATCCATTTCAGATGGATCAACCTAAAACTCGCCTTACCTCAACATAACAATTATAAAACACACTCTAGAAATTTAAATTAGTACTCACATTGTAGCACGCTCAAGAACCAGGAAGTAAATAAGTCGGTGAGCAACTCAAGAATCAATAAAGTAACTAAAATGAGTTTAATGTTAGTCAGTTTTAATAACAAGAACAAGTTTTTACTCTAGAATGTAAGTTCTCGTGAACCATTGGGACACTCTAGCTGTCCACCTTTCCACCGAAGGTTCACTCTAGTCCAGTTTAGAATAATACTCCAATCACAACAATCCAGTTCGTGGGAATGCGCTCGTCTCTGTTTTAGATGGGACAGCTCTACTCTCGATTATTATTGCTACTGAAATTGCGAATAGCAATTTCCCACTGATTTTTCTAGCAACTTTCCCGCGATTGTCACTCGATCGTTCTGACTTCTCTTTTTTGATTTTCAGTTATCGCGAGAAAATCGTGCATGACAGGTTCCATTCGAAATTTTGAAAAATTTAATTTCACTCCAAAATTAAGTGCTTTTTGCTTCTCTCAAGGTCAAACTTCCAAATATGACCGACTGGCACATACTCCCCGGACTCGAGATCGATGTCCTCATCGCGTGCTGTCTTCTGCCAGTAAGTCCCAGAAAACCGAGTGTTACTCAAGATACAGTGCCAGTGGTCATTTACAGAAGTTTGCAGCAGACTTAAGCTTATCTACACCCCAAAATTCACAGCCATGTAAAATTTTCACACTATCGCTAAACAGCAATCAAAATCTGCACACACCTGCACCCTTGAATTCTCGCTTTTCAAGCCAATTTAAAATTTCTTTTGTCCCATTCAATTAGGAAATTGTCATGCAGCATTTTCGTTTATATAATAGATATAGCATATTAATAACAATATCTTGTTTTGTTAAAATTTCTTTTTCGTGAACCCAGGTTTCACCCGGATCCACGCTCAAGCCCCCTTTCCCTCTCAAGACTCAAGATCCATTCGAGCCACCTGCTCATCTCGCACTCTTCGCCTTGGAGGTACTGCACCCTGAAGTACTAGATACGGCAAACTGTCTCAACAGTTCCTCTTCATCATCGGAGCTAATCACAATCTCCTCCCAAGCCTTCAGCTGCTCTTAGGATCGCATCCATTCTCTTTGCTCTTGCAACCTCTTTGCTTGGTTGGGTAGTGCCTTCACCCTAGATTCCCGGTTCAAACAAAAGGAATTGTGCAGGCTCAAGCTCACGTTCTTCGCCAGGTCCTCCTCTAGTATCGATTCCCTCGCTTTGGTATTGTCTCTAGACATTTTACCCACTCTCTTCCATCCTGTCGTGATTGCATTACGATGGGTTAACAGGGGTCTCTTGAAAACTTCCGGCCCAATCTCGGCCTGGAACTGTCGATACTCCTTTTGATGTTTTCTCATGTGATCTTTCGTTGTCATGTACAACCAGGACGTCAGCGTCGCCCGAAACCATGGGAAGTACCTCAAACGGCTCCAGACATGTCTGACTTCCGTTGGTATGGCGAATACCTTGCACGCAGTCTCAAACAACTCGAGTCTCCTACTGTAGTCTATCGCGTATATTGACTCAGCCGTTGGCGTCCCCGCTTCCCGATACTTCGTTATATTCTCTTCTATCCATCTCAGAGCCAACATCGTACTCACTACCAAGATCGTCACCTTCTGTCGGTGATCCGGTAGTCCGATCGACCGGATTTCTTCCATATCCCATACCAGGCAAAGGTTCTTGTGATCTGGATACCACACCGTTTGCGCCAAACAGTGGCATGGGCATTCTCCATGGGTGATCTCAATGCTCCTGAGGTTACGCTCCCCCGAGGCTTCCAAGAGAGGCTCAAGCTCCATCATTTTCTCATGCATCGTGTCGTTATCTTCCAGGTTTGGAGTACTTCCCACAGGTTTTCCGATCACGTTTTGTCTCTCGTGATCGCTTGTGTTCTCTCTCTCCAACTTCAAAAGTTCTTCTCCCCAGATTTCACTCAAGTCATCTCTCAATTCTTTTGGTACTGTCCCTCTGATTTTTCTCAACAACTTGTGCGAGTGATGCGATATCCTAGCCAACCTCACGCACTTGGGCACTGAGAAGGCCTTGTCCACCAGTACTCTCTGGCTGGATGCTTCCACCATCGCCATGTGCAGTGGGTAGTGACTTCCGCACAAGTTGGCCATCATTGACCCTATCAGGGATTTTGCGTTCAATGGCAGGCCATAAGCTTCGCTCATGGGAAACCCCATTTCTGCCTCAAGACCAACTTTCCAGCTCCGGATGTGTTTTTGAGTCACCTGCAATACCCCAGGCCATGATTCTACGCTCAACGCCGTCACCCAATGGTGTTCAGACTCTAGTCTTTCCAATGACTGCAAACTACACATTCTCGAGAAGAATCCGAGAGCTGTCGCTATATTCACCGTGGTTCTCGCGTAACACTCCGCTACTATTTGCACTTCACTTCTCTCCCTTTCCGTGATGTCTTCGAACCAAGTGACCAGGTCTTCTTTTTGAAAGGACAGTATTCTGACGCATGACCGTCCATCGCAGGTGTGCTCTCCGTTTCCACACGTCGAATCCAGACAGCTACCCGGCTCCAATTTCTTCGCTGACCCGGGATTGTTCGTCTTTTCGCTTGGCTCTTGCATCTGAGGTAAGATTAGCTTATGCAGCACACTCAACTTTGCCAGATCTTCATCTTCCGTTGGTGCTAGCCTCACTCGCTCGGTGGTTTCCTCGATCAGACTCGCGTGGGGATGTGGACACCAGGAGGGTCTTAGTAGCTTCCATACTACTCCCAAGTTCGTGGTTAACAAGCCATTTCCATCGCCCATGTTCACTTCAACTCTCTTGTTCGAGCGCGGTATGCTTACCACCTCTGGTGTTTTCTCAAGAATCAGGCCCATGCTCGGCCCCTCTTTTTCCACCGTGTCTATTTCCATTATTCTTTCTGTCCAAAACTTCAGTAGCTCCGCTACCTCATGGTTTCTGTGGGCACCTCCAGTTTCCGAGTCTAAGAAGGGGTTGTAGGCTATTCCCATTACTCCCGACACATATTGGTATCCCCCCTTCTCGCTGAGTCTCGAGTACTGCTCTGACGAGGCCAGGTTACGGTGAACATCATGTTCTTCTTCGAACTTCTTATTATAAAATCTCCGCACCTCGTCTAGCTTTCTGTGGTTCTCTAGGGATTGTCTGGAACCATCTTCCTTTTCTATTCCTGTACTCTGATATACGTTCAAGATGATCGTTGAGACTCTTTTTTCCATGGTTTTACTTCCGCTTGCTCTCTGTTGGCATGCCAGGATGGTGCTATCAGACATCATCGACATTATCCATCTCAAGAAACACGTGGCATCCTTTCTTCTAGCCAGGCTCAAGCTGAATTGTCCCTGGCTACGTGTTGCATCAGTGCCTGATACACATCTAGCTTCTTGCTTCCCAACTTCAGCCTGTCATACGAGGTCAGTGTTTCCAACTCTATTCCCACCAGACTCCAGGTGAACATTAATTGTCCTGCAGTTCTAACGAAGGGATTCGCCATTAATGGTGGTGCTGATGAGGGTGTCCTCATTGCTTCTTCAAAATGATCCTTCAACAAACTCTGCCAGGACCTCTTCAGATGATTTGCCATTTCTATTTTATTAACCTCGGCCTTTTGCTGGGTGGCCCAATTGCGTCGCTTGCGAGCTACTCCACTGTCCAACTTCTTCCAGCAGTCCTCCATTTCTTTCAATGTTTCAAGGGCCACCCACCACGTCCGGGAGGTGTTCCTCGTCTTGTTCTTCTCCAATGGATCACTCGTCACTTGCTTGCCCATGTCCTGATGTGCCTTTGAGATCCATTCTTTGCCGATATCTACTTCCCATGTCTGTCCGTTCGTTGAACCTCTCTTTACGTTTATCTTCTGAGGCTTGAAGTCTTCCTCCGATGTCGAACTGGTGGAAGTCTCTATTTCCCTTTCTACTTCAAGTGGTCTTCTGAGCTCCGAGCTGTTCTTGTATGCCGCCGTCTTGCATCGAGCCAAAACCATGGGCGCCGTCTCTCTCAAGTTTCCTTCCGAAACAGCATCCACTGAAGGACTACCCAATCCTTCTACTTCTCTCTTCCTCTTGCGAGTCTTCACATTTCTGCTTGAGGGTGTTGTAGCTA